TTACAAATAGTCTGGATGCAGCTATCTCCCCTAGTTCTGCAACTCAACATCTTGCACAATTAAATTCTGCTGAAGATAACTTGATAAATAGCAGAAATGTTGAATTTGATAATCGTGACAGCAATATGATAATTCACAAAGTTCTGTGCCAACTCCTAATATTCCAATGTCAATGAACTTAGAATCATCAAGTGTAGAATCAGATATTGCTCCTCTGCTTGGTCATCCCATGGTTACAAGATCAAAAAGTGGGATAGTTAAACCTAAATATTCTTTCATTGGAATTGCTTCAACAGCATCAAATCATTCTAGGGAACCTTCAACTGTTTATGAGGCTCTTTCTATTCCACAATGGAAAGAAGCTATGATCAAAGAATATACAGCTTTAATGAAGAATCAGACATGGGATCAAGTCCCATTTAACAATCAAAAAGTGATTGATTGCAAATGAATCTTTAAGACTAAGCATATGTCTAATGGAGCAGTTGATAAACATAAGGCAAGATTAGTTGCCAAAGGTTTTCAACAAGATGTAGGAGTAAATTTTGGAGCAACTTTCAGTCCTGTAGCTAAGATTGCAACAATTAGAATCATCTTGTCCCTTGTTGTGTTACTCAACTAGCCATTGAAGCAGTTAGACATTAACAATGCCTTTCTCAATGGTTTCATTTCAGATGATGTGTTTATGATGCAACCTAAAGGGTTTGTTGATTCAAAGAAACCACACCATGTTTGTAAACTTCGTAAAGCACTCTACAGTCTTAGACAAGCTCCACATGCTTGGTTTGATAGATTGAGCGGAGTGCTTCACGATTGGGGATTCTATAACACTAAGAGTGATAATTCTTTATTTGTTCTTACTACTGAGACATATGTGATCATTCTACTCATTTATGTAGATGATATATTGATAACTAGGAGTGAGCCTTTTGAATTGCAGAAACTCATTAAAAAACTCAATGATCTTTTTGCTCTTAAAGATCTTGGTGATTTGCATTATTTTCTGGGGTTTGAAGTTCAAAGAGATTCTTATGGCATTTTCATACATCAAAGTAAGTGTATTGAAGATCTGCTAAACAAATTCAATAAGTTATATACTGCATCATGTAGTACTCCCATGGCTGGAGGAAAAATCTTGAGTGCAAATGAAGGTACCCTTCTTAAGGATCCCACGGATTACAGAAGTGCTCTAGGAACCTCGCAGTACTTGACAAACACTAGACCCAACATCTCATTTGCTATAAATCACCTCAGTCAATTCCTCAGTAAGCCCACAATTGAGCATTGGAAAGGAATGAAAAGAATTTTCAGGTATTTAAAGGGTACATCTCAATTTGGCTTGTATATCTCACCTTCATAGCTCTTAAATGTAACAGCCTATGCTGATGCAAATTGGGCAGCTTGCCCAGATGATAGACGATCAATATCTGGGTATTGTACATGCTTGGGAGGTTTACTAGTGTCGTGGTATTCCAAGAAACAAAGTGTTGTGTCCAGATCCAGCACTGAATCAGAATATCGAGCACTCTCTAACACAACAGCTGAGCTTGCTTGGTTACTTTCACTGCTATCTAAATTAAAAATTCCAAAAATCAGAGCTCCGGTTATGTGGTGTGGCAGCATTAGTGCAGTGGCCCTTGTTGAAAATCTAGTGTATCATGCAAGAACGAAGCACATTGAGATTGATGTGCATTATGTTCGTGATTAAGTGCTAGCTGGGCAATTGAAAATCAACTATGTCCCTTCTAATGAGCAGAACGCTGACTTTTTTACTAAACCGCTGTACAGGGCTCGGTTTGTATATGTTAGAGACAAACTCGAGATTCAATCTCTACCCTCTCGTTTGAGGGGGATGCTAAGGATATAGTCTAGCATATCCAAACCAAGCCCATCCTAAGTTCAAGCCCAAGTAGGAAGCCCAAAGATATTAGGTTTAGCACTACAGAGCATACTAGAATAAAGCATGCCATCTAGATATTTTATAGTGCTCTTCCATGATATTGACACGTGTATATTAGTCATGTTTGTACCATATAGTGTAGTGCTCTGTCAGAGTGTATATATGTGTACAGTGTATCAATCATTTGCAACGTAACAATACAAAACTTTTCCAACCAATATTTCTCTCGTCTCTTTGCTCTTCTCTGACTCCACCCTACTGACTTTTGCAATTTAGCTTATGTCGCCAACTATGTAAACGAAGAAGGGAATGCCTCATGTGTTGGAGACTGACAAAATCACCTTCAGAAGTTTGGGTTCATATTCAGCTTATCCCTTTCCCTGCAAATATGTCTGGGCCTGTTGTCCCGGACTTGGAATTCTCTATCCTTCCAATATTAATCTTGAATGAATGTGGTCATTGTTTAGATTCAGCAATTAACTTGTAAAATCATCCATATCAATCACTAAACCACACGAGTTATATGATAAGTTTGCGATTTTCATAATTTTTAAACAATAAACATGTTTCAGGTTTTGCAAAATTACAGAAAAATGTATGGAGTTGCATGAAAATATAAAGTTGTAAATAGAATACATTTTCCTTATAATTCTCCCTGTATATTTCAGCTAGTAATCTGACGATTTTTTTTTATTGACCTCAGGCTAGTAATCAGACAATTGAACTTTTGCATCTCTGTAATTTTTGCAATGAATCAATGTCTATTATCTTCATTTGAGGTTGATTAAATTTGTCGTAAGCCTACGTACACACAGTATGCAAAATGCGGAAAGATGCTTGTCATAACACCGTGACATACTGGAGCTCAAGACCTGATGATAGAACGTGTATGCCTTACTCAGAATATCCTAACCTAACTGCAATGTAAGTATTATCTTATTATAAGGGGGTAATTGCATGCTGCTTGAGTTAAACCACTATTTTAGGGGGAAAAGTTGGATGAATTCTTTAGGCAGACCATTTCTTAGTCAGCAATTTTGGAATACTTTCATGTTAGTTAATAGGTACCCTCTATTTCCTGATTCGGTAGCTTTTGGTAACAACCGTAAGAAGCAGGGGATTAATTGCTTGCCATCATCCAAAACTGCTTGTTCTATCCGAGTTGTCATTACATCTACAAATTTATTGGAAAAGCAGGTATTCCATTGGCCCAACTATTGGTTGCCAATATTTACATATAATAATGATGATGATGATGATGATGATGAAAACAAGTTGCTCCTGCTATGGTGTATAAATTATATATGATGCTGTTGATAGGGAAGTCAAATGCCCATTGTACTCATAGTCAACTTTGGTTCCATCTGAAAAGTATTGACTTTCTGAGGTCTCCTTGCATGCAAATTCGATCAGAAACGATGACTGTGAATTGACAATATATGGGTTTTTCTGGGTTCCAGTTCCGACCTCAATCATGCTTTATGATGCATGCATGCATTGCAGCCTCTATGCCTTCACTATCTAGTTTTCAACTTACCGCTAAAATTTCTTTTTCCCTGGTTTACTAATTAGCTACTGATTAATTTATCCGAGTTAACTTCAATATATTGTCTGTGTACAGAGGTAGTTGCCACTATCAGCTTCTTTATATAACTACATCAAAATTTTCTAAAATCTTTATATCGTATGCTATAAGAGTATGGCAGATGGATTGTTCCTCTTATTTTCATTGAAAAAGCTTTCAAAATATAATATTTATAAGAGAAGTTTGACCAATAAGATGCCTCAAATTTTTGGATTTAATAATATACTTAATTGTTGGCTTTAGGACTCGGTATGTAAATTTGAGTGGTATCACATGCAGATGGTTTGTCATACTAAATGCTTTTCCTTATTTAAAATGTGATTGTAAGGCTTCTAGTTGATGAATTAACATGAAATGTTATTGATGCTTAATCAACAATTTATAACATCTTGATATGTTTATCTGATGTATAAGTGCTACTCATCAATTATTTTATATGATTTTTGGCCTATGTAGTGGAACTGAGTGACTAATGGCAAGATTTTCCTCGTGTCATCTCAGCTAATTATGCATCGCATTTCCCAAATGTTTACAATGCAGAATTACATCTGGATTGTAACTGTGATGATTTTGCTCAGCTGGCTGGGTTTATGGCATTTCTTTTGACTGATGCACCCAGCCAAGCCCATTGGAGTGTTTAGTTGGCAAAATATGATATTGGAGGCGCAACAGGCCATCTTGTGGCTTCAGTTCCTGGAATTCACTTTAGCAGAACTTCCGTCATATCAAAATGCTCTCCACCCTCACCTGTGAGTACTAATATTTATTTTGCTAGTCATGGAACATTCTTTATGGATATAACTAGAATCTGATATCTGGATAATCCCGTGAATTCTTTATTACCCCATGTGTGGTGGGTTTCCAGTTCATACTATGGTTTTTCAGATTTGCTTGTTGCTTCCAATGTGCTTATACACATGTGGTGGGCATTTGCATTTTGAGATATGGATATGCTTACGGAGTGTAAATCTGATGGCAGGACTTGCTTGTACAATTGTTTGTCTTTATTTTTAAAGCAGTGGAAGTGGATTTCGTTTGTGGTTATGTGAAATTTAACTAGCATGAAAAAAACATTGCCGTGCTACATCACTCAGGTACGAGCAACTCTAACGATAATAGGGATGAATATTTTGATGGATAAGGATTTTTCTCCTCGAATTTGCTCCTCTTTGAGGTGGCCTTTATCTGATATTATTAGCTCTAGTTCTCCTGTATGTCTCTCTGGTTCCCTTCTCCATCCAATCCTTATTCTACCTCGAATAAATATCTAATTAAAATTAAAAATAGTATTGCATGAGTCATTTGTTGGAATACTGATATATCCATGTCAAATTAGGGGGGGGGGGCCTTGTGAAATGTTAATCGTTAATATTTTATTGATAGGTAAACGAAAATGATTGCTAGGATTCCCACAAGCATGTTAAAGGTTAAGATAAGCGAAAGTGATAAAATTCCAAGCCTTTCTTCTGCCCCTTCAACAGACTGTCTTCATTGTATCCGTGGGTCATGATAAAATTATTTGCGAGGGCTTGCTATTTCAAATCTTTATTTTGTACTTGTATTATAGTGTAACATGAGATGGAGGCAAAGCATATGCAGATGGTGATTTTGAATAGAAGAATAGAAAAAGATTCTCGCTGCTTATCTGTCCACGACCTAAACAGGGCACAAAAGTCAAATTTTGTGGACGAACTCGAGCAGCTTCCTCGAAGAGTCAAAATTCCTGAGAGAACTCGTGCCTGATGCCCCCTTCCACTTGATATAATATCAAACCCCACCTAACTCAGCAAAGCTAACTGCTCTGAATCTTGCATTTTGATTGAAATCACTCTGCAAGATTTCTTCTTTAGAACCACTAGTAGCTCGTAAATGGAGGGTCTTTTTCCTCTTGTGTTCAGAGCAATCAAGAAAAACAGAACTCGCCAACAATATCACTGTCTTTCATCAGGAGCTTCTCTCAGCTACATCAACATGGCCGATATCTGTCCTCAGGCTCAAACTCAGAGCCATGTCTATGAGACAGCTTCCACCCAGAAAGTGGCTCATCATCTTAATGCAGGAAACAATCATAATCATCGTCATCATCTGCGACATAGATCTGTGGGAGACTTCGATTATGGGTTTTCGTCTACTCAGGAGGACAGAACAGACGGTGGCTCTCCGACTCCGAAGCAGCTAGTGCGATGTGGAAGTCACAGAATGTTTTCATGTATCAATGGTGTCTAAAGGTTGATTTCCAAATTAGTAAAAAAGCCAAGGTTCAACCTCGATCTTACCTTTACTGTTTCTTCTGCGTCTCACCGATGAGTTTCCATTCTGGGTTGAATTTTGCGCTTTCTTGTCCACGTCAAGGATTCTTGCTCTGGCAAACTTTCTAGCTATCATTCACCCAAAAAAAAAAAAAAAAATTAGCTATCAGGTTTTTGGGATTCACTTCCCTCCGAAAAGTGAAGAAATGCAGGGTTCCGCATATTCAGATCTGGGTCGGAAGTGGAAACAAAAATATATTCTTCAACGGGGCCCTCGCTGGCTACAGTGAAGGCCGAAGGGTGAAAAATGGAATATCAGTAAATGCAGATGGCGTCGTCGTGGTCTTTGAGTTGTTGATATCTTAGCTTCGTCAATGCTTTTGGGAGAAAGGTTTGTCTTAGGATGTATGGCTTTTTACGTTGACAGAAGAACAAAGACATACTAATGTTGCAGCGTGTCTACCGTTTTTGCCTACTTTTGCATTCTTTTTCAGGTTTTTTTTTTTTTTTTCTTTTTGGCTGTTTGTAGTGTTTAAACTACTCAAGCGAGGATGTTAATTTGGTTATCACAATTTCACTTACATTTTATCCAGCTCTTGGTTAAAGTTATGGGTAATTGATCCTTAAGTTTCTAATTTTTCAAGTTTTATAATTTACAATTAATTTTAGAGTTAAAGATTCCTCTAACTTAGTTAATCCAAGGAAATTCATATAATAAACAGTTACTTTAATCTTTTTTTGCCAATACTTTAATCAGTTTTTCGTTGTATATACATGGCTATCTAGCTAATTCATTTTTCTAAATTGAGGAGGGAAAATTTTACCCTTCTCTCTAAGAGTGAGAATAGACAAACTCCTAACAAAAGTTTACAGTTTGACTTATTTCAAGTTCAACTTTTAAAATAGTTTAAATTTATTTTTTTAAGGCCTAATTTACAAACCTAACAAATTAACTTATTTACACACACATACATGTACTATGTAATATATCACAAATACATCAATTTTATTATTTAATTTTTAATTAATATTTTTTTAATTTTTAGTTATGTTTTCAAACATATTGAATTTATATATTAATTTTAATGTTGTTGTTTTATTGTCATATTGTATTATAGTTGGTAAGTTTTTTTAATTATTATATATTGTAACTAATAAATCAAGTTATATGTTATATATTATAATAGTTTTAAAGTATACTTGAGATGTTTAAAATTAAAATGCAAACCTATTTAAAAAATTTACTTCTAAGTAAACTTTCAAGTTAGGCCAAGTTTTTGGTAGGTTTAGACTTGAGCAGTAAAAAAATCTTATACAGATTTCAAGTCAGACTCAAGCTTATAATATACTACACAGGCTTAGCCTTATTTAATCAAACCTAGTTTGTTCTAACCTATTTTCACCCCTACTTTCCTCCAATCAAACATAGTGTCCATTTTTTTTAACTTGAAAACACAATGTTAATAAACTCTTATCAAATTTCATTGTCCTTTCTAAGGGGTGAATCAAGACACATGAGCACCATGTAATTGATGGGTGAGAGTAAAATTAAAATGTGCCTAAGTGCTAAATTAACAATGACTAGTCACTATGGATTTGAATTAAATGAGTATCATAAATTTACTCATTCGATAAAGATATCGTGTCATATGATTTAATCAAATGACAATCAAAAATTTTGTTATATGATATTTGAAAGTATTAAATTTCAAATTTTTAAAGGAAGTAGCTTATGCAAAGAGTTTTCTAATTTTGAGGGCCACTTTGAATTTTTAGAAAAAAATATATTTTAATAATTTTTAAGTGAAATTGAATTTGATTAATTCAATTTATGTGACTTTAGAAAATTATAAAAATGAGAATATTTATTTTGAACAACAAAACGTGACTAATCAAGTCCGATAATTGGTTTTCCAACAAGCTTAATGGAGAGCCCTAGAAGCCCTGAATAATTGCTTGAACAAGAGCTGCATTTACGCACCATGATATCTAATGATCCCAATTAAAATACTTATTGAATAAGTGAGTCTGAGGCTTTGAGCTAACTCGCATGCTTAGGTGCGCGGAACATTTGGAAACATAAACTCTTTAAAACTTCCTACTTGCTACTTTGCTAGGGGGTTGAAGAGAAAAGGGGCCATGCAGTTGACGACGTGGCGTGCTATGGATAGTCGATCTCTTCGACGGCTGAGACACACTCAATGGTTCACCCTGCCCCGAATACATTCCCCGTTCGATTGCGTGCTGTTTGACTTTCTAACATCTATTAGTATTTTGTCGAACGGGAAATTTTGGAATTTGGAGGGAAAAGAACGGAGAGATCAGTCTCTCAGGCTTTTTCCTCCTCATGCTCCCCTCTCATACCAATTTTTATTATTCTTTTATGATCCGTATTATTATGATCGAATGCATAAAGATTTCATCCCCATGATCGATTCGAATTTATCTTCCTCAGCCAACGATAGTACTTACAGTATTTCTAACACTCGTAAGAGAGAATTCGTTAATGATTTTTCTGTGAAGTCCTATCACGGTTCCCCTTCGAAGAAGAAATCGAGAAACATTGCCGGTAGGATAGCAGCCACTGTTGATTTGAAGCACTTCGAGGTGCCTCTGCTTTCCTCCTTCGATGTCACCGGTTTTGAGTGCCACTCCATCCATATTCGTGCTGACCGTCCTTACACGATCGGTCGGAGACATCGTTACTCTCAATTTGTCTTCCGTGACCGCCGAGTCAGTAAGCAACATTGCCAGATTTTCTTTGACGGTTCACTCCGTAAACTTTATATTCTGGCCGGGGTTTTGTCACTCAAGGATTCCGCTAAATGTCTTGTTCACGAATTTAGGAATAGGGTAATGTCATTTCATGCTAGCAACACCGACGTCCCGGATGGCGTTGGGTTTCGAGCGGCATCTAATGGGGTTTTTGTGAACGGGGTCAAAGTTAGAAGGGGCAAGGCCGTGGAGTTGTTAGCTGGAGATAAGGTCCTGCTAGTTTGTGGCAATCATGAAATTTGTTGCTGTGGTATCCGGAATCGGATTGGGTTTCTTATTCAGAGAATTATTTATGACGACGGTGGCTCTGAAGGGTGTGATGATGATATTGGTTTTGAGAGCATGTGGACATTAAGTGCCATGTCCGTGTCCGAGCATTCCCAAGGGCTCACCTCAAGCGGGAAAAGGAACAAAAGAGTTTTTGCTATGAAGAGAAATGATATGTGTTCAGACAGTGCCATAGCAAATTATAAACGAGTTGTTGGCAGAGCAAACTTTCTTTTGGATTGGTGCAGAGGCATCTTGCTTAGTGATGATCCTATATCTCGCATGCTGCATGCTATGCCAGATACAAGTCTTGGATACAAAGGAGCCTGTGGCCCCTTATTGAACAACTTTCCAGGCGTGAATTTGGGCAATACTGTTAGATTATTGGTGGACAGTGAAGTGCAGTCTGAATGCATTCAGCCAGTTTTGGAGCAGGAATTACCTCTACAGGTGAACTTGTATGGTGGTGACAGGCAAATGGAAAATAAGATTACTGGTGTCTTACAGTCAACTTCAGGTGTACTTTGTGGTAGGATAGTAGCCTCCTTGGAGGCAAACAGTGACCATCATTACCATTTGTGTCAAAAAGAAAATGTTGGAGTTGCTCTTGAGAGTGCTATTGCTGATGAGAATCCTAATGCCTTGCTGTTGTTAGGCAGGGGCAGTTCTACTTCTGGTGGCAAAAAGTTGAAAAACCATGGGGGCATCTTTTACTCATCACCTGGAAAGAACTTTTACCTGAATCGTCTTGAATATGCGAACTATGGTTCCTCAGGCCATCATTATGCCATATCTTTACCTGAGCTTCTTTATCCTGTTGAAAGCATTTCAAGGATGTTCATTGCAACATTTACAAGTGACATAAAATGGTTTGATGACTTGTATCTTTCTGTTGTTTCCATTTCTCTTTGTGCCATTCATTTCCCTAACTGTTGTCTTGTAGATTTTTTCTCATCTTCTTGGATTTAAAAATTTGAAAATTTCTGGCAGTCTGTTGTGCATGTATCCAGTCTTTTGGATTTGTTCATAGCTTATATGATTACTGAACTTGAACTCTGTTTATACTTGACAATACTAAGAGAAGTGTTTTATTAGGTTCTTGTCATATTGTGAGATTCCATTCCATCTGCCCCTTACAATTGCTTGTCATAACACCGAGAGATGCTGGAGCTCAAGACCTGATGATAGAATGTCTGTGCCTTACCCAGAATATCCTAACCTAACTGTAGTGTAAGTATTATCCTATGAGGGGCTAATTATATGCTGCTTGATTTAAGCCACTATTTTAGTTGGAAAAGTTGGATGAATTATTTAGGCAGACCATCTCTTAGCAATTTTGGAATGCTTTCATGTTGGTTAATAGGTATCCTCCATTTCCTGATTCGGTAGCTTTTGGTAACAACCGTAAGAAGCAGGGGATTGCTTGCCATCATCCAAAACTGCTTGTCCTGCAAAGAGAAGATTCTATCCGAGTTGTCATTACATCTGCAAATTTAGTGGAAAAGCAGGTATTCCATTGGCCAAACTTTTGGCTGCTAATATTTACATATATTACTAATAATAATGAGAACAAGTTGCTCCTGTTATGGTGTATAAATTGTAATACTGTTGACAGGGAAATCAAATGCCTACTGTACTCATAGTCAATGTAGGTTCTAGCTGAAAAAGTATTGACTTTCTGAGGTCTCCTTGCATGCAAATTCGATAAGAAACAATGACTGTGAATTGACAATATATGGGTTTCTTCTGGGTGTAAGTTTCGACCTTAATCATGCTTTATGATGCATGCATTATCACCTCTATGCCTTCACTATCTGGTTTTCAACTTACCGCTATAATTTCTGTTTCCTTGGTTTACTACCATGCCACGTGTGGTGGTAGTGTCTGTAAATACTGTAAATGTCATTACTGATGCTAAATTTCAAGCAATTCTAGTGCAGCTAATTAGCTATTGATTAATTTACCCAAGTTAACTTCAATATTTTGTCTGTGTACAGAAGTAATTGGCACTATTAGCTATGTTATATAAATATGTCAAAATGTAATATTTATAACACATGTTTGACCGATAAGATGCCTCAAATTTTTGGATTTAGTAATATACTTAATTGTTGGCTTTAGGACTCAACATACAACTTTGAGTGGTATCACCTTCAAATGGTTTGTCATACTGAATGCTTTTCCTTATTTAAAGTACAATTGTACGGCTGGTAGTTGATGAATCACTATGAAATTTTATTGATGCTTAATCCACAATTTATAACATCTTGATATGTTTGTCTGATGTATAAGTACTACTCATGAATTATTTTGTATTATTTTTTGTCTGTGCAGTGGAACAGGGTGACTAATACTATATGGTGGCAAGATTTTCCTCGTGTCAGCTCAGCTAATTATGCATCGCTTTTCCCAAAAGTTGACAAAACAGAATTACATCTGGATTGTAAATGTGATTTTGCTGCTCAGCTGGCTGGGTTTATGGCATCTCTCTTGATTGATGTACCCAGTCAAGCCCATTGGATTGTTGAGTTGGCAAAATATGATTTTGGGGGCGCAACAGGACATCTTGTGGCTTCAGTTCCTGGAATTCACTTTAACAGAACTGCCATCATATCAGAATCCTCACCTGTAAATGCTAATATTTATTTTGCTTGTCATGGAGCATTCTTTATGGATATAACTAGAATCTGTTTGGCGATCTTTAAGATTTCTAGGCTGTGCCCTGGTTGTATAATGCTGGTTTGGAATGTTATCCCTTCTATCTTTTGACTTCTCTATGTTAGGTTTTTTTATTAAAATAAATAAATAAATAAGGAACTCCAATACTAACAGTATTTGATGACTTATAGTTAAATATATGTTCTGCACTGGATTTTTGAAATGTTTCATTTGACTCAAGTGGGACGCTAATCATTGTGAATTTGGGTTATCTGATGTTAAGTTTCTAGGTTCAGTTGTAGCCTCTGTGGTTGGCATAAGATACCTTTACCGCACTGCAGCAGACTCAAAAGGTGCGAGATTGAAAACACTGGCTAATTTCCTTGGAAATGCATGCAAGAGTTCCCACGGAAAGCTGGAAATTGTTTTAAGAAGAAATCCCAATGTGCCTGCTGATGCAAATGCTGTCAGTGTTCTTGTTCCTGATCCTGATAGCACATTTTCTGGAGGTATAATCTACACTGCTTGAATTTGATATGTGGATAATCCTGGGAATTCTTTGTTCCACCATGTGTAGTAGGCTTTCCTGTTCATACTATGGTCTATGGTTTTCAAATTTAATTATTTCTTCCACTATGCTTATATATGTGTTTTATCTAGTAATTCTGGATGTTGCCAATGACTGAAACAGTATCTCCCCCCCCCTGTACTTTCTATAGAATATGTTCAACTCGGTTTTTTGCCTAGAAATGTAGCACAATGGGTCTCTCCTCTTTGGGATGCTGGATTCTTCAGGTTTTTTGGGTATGTCTGTCCAAAAGAGGCACTTGCAGCTGCCTTAGGAGAAAACTGCAAGAAAGTACAACTATATTATATGTATCTGAGGTATGGTTGGTTGGCTGTGCCTTCCTATAGGTTTTAATGTTGGTTTCCTTCCATGAACTAGAATGGCATGATATTGGTATAATTTCTTGAACTGCAGGGTCAACATTTTGTTGATATAGCAAAGATGATGCAATTTGAACACATTATTGCATTCTGCTCACTCATTGCTTCAATCCAAAGGTGTTACGGCCTCACAAGATTGCAAGAGGTAATTTGTAGTCTGAGAACATCTTATACACCGACTCTTGCAGCTACTAGTTGATGTAGAACAGTAGAGGCAAAGGGGAATAATGAGAGAAGGGGAGGGAGAGAAATCTGATTGGATAACTGATGTTCTTCAATAAGTCTGAAAACTAATTCCTATTTTTTGCCAACACCGAAAACTGAATCTATTGCAGGATCATTTACAGGGAGCCAATAATGAAAGAAAAATGAGTAAAAATTCTAAAAAGGCATAAAAAGAAAGTATCTCTTAAAGTAGAGTTCTTATGCCTAGAATAAGCTTTTCATAATTCCCCATCATTGCCCGTGTATTATGAGCAAATTGAAGCACTCTGATTGGGTTGACACTGAGGTTATGTTTTATCTTTTCTCGTATTTTTACTGGTCTGTAGGATTGTGAATCCCCCCCAACCCAAAATGCTCTACGGTGTATGAATTATCACCCAGTTTTATATCTTTTATATTATCTTCTACTAGGTTCTGAATCAATATAGATGGCCTGAATCATCAGCGTCTGATTTTATATATGGTAAGTGTATTTTTGACAATACATAACACTTTAAAATTAAGTGGACCTTTTTCTCCTATCCTCTTGGATCATATTGGTTGTTTCCTTTTCTGTGAATCAGGTTCATCTTCAATTGGTTCATCTGTCGGTGCACAATTTCTTGCTGCATTTTCAGGTGCTGCTGGGAAAAAGTCATTGCAACGTTTTGATTCAGAAGAGTCTGATCCTGAGGTGATTTCAAGACCTTCGCTCTTTCTTTAGACCTGGCTGAAAAGTCTCTTGTATTTTCTGCAAGATGCACCTGTTAATGAATTTTTTTTTTCATTATTAATTAGTTTAATTATTTTTTTGACAGTGGGGCTCTTGGAATGCTGGGGAAGAATTGAGAAACCCTTCCATGAGGATCATTTTCCCCACTATTGAAAGAGTGAAGAATTCCTGTAATGGGGTCTTGCCTTCAAAACATATTCTTTGCTTCTCAGAGGTAATATAATAAACTGATCAGGTCAACTCATTGAAATGAATGAAGTCAGAAGTTGTTTCTAGGGATGTATTACATTTATTATTTATTTTTTACAAATACTTTGTCTATGTTGTTTTTTAAGATTTTGCTATATATACTACCAATAGTCTTGCCTATTGGATATTGGCTAAAACAACCTGGTGAGAAAGAGAGGCAGAGGCGACTCCTGTTCTCTCTGTTACCTTCTTTCTTTTGCGAAGATACAGTTTTGAAGTTTGGTTTTAGCATTACTAGCATTTGATGAATAGAATTCTACAGGAGTTTCCTCCAGGGCTCCTGGAAGTGCCCATGTTTAATCACGGTAGCATGCAGGTTAAATAAACTGTTCTGAAACAGAAATAAATCATATGCATACATCAAATTATGAGCTTCCCTGTAGAAATTCCTTCTCACTCATCAACAACCACACATCGATTTTACCAAGCAATTCAGTGTAATTATTCCATGCTTAAAGAATTATGCACCAACCAATTACAAAAATAAGATAACCTAGGTTTCAATCTAGCTATAACTATGCGCATTGTCTTGGGTTTTTTAAGTCCATTTGGGTTGTTCCTTCTTTGTTCTTTATTTTGGAAGGTGAGTTGTAACATTTGTTAAAGATGTCAGCGACGAATTGATTGTCTACTTTTGATCAGAGAACTTGGCAAAGGTTGAAGGCTTTAGATATACTTCATGATGCCGTTCCTTATCCTGATGACAGAGCAGGACATCCAATGCATGTCAAGGTAACCATCTCCCCCCATTTTTGGACGATTAAATTGTTTTGTACGGGAAATATAATCACTTCATATTAGTTTATGTGTATTCATGTTACACACATAAATGGGGACCGTTGCAATGATAGAAATAAAGCAGGAATTGAGAGATATTTCTGTTTTTCTCTTGTACAATGTCAATATAATCAATATAAATTATAAAATTTATAATGTACTATTTGCAATTCATGAATAGCGCAATTTATTTTTTTACAATCTATGTAATGCATGGAACCTACGTAATATCAAGTTATTTTGTACTCAGGTATCATGTGATGTCCTTTTTGGTTTACTTTGGGTCTTTGACTTGCAGTCTCTAATTTTTTTGCCTGTTTTTCTTTCTTCTACGTCCTTTTCTAATTAATATGAGCAGGTAATACGGAGGCGATTCTGGTCTGGCAGGGATGTACCTTCTGTTGGTTGGGTGTATTGTGGGTCGCATAATTTTAGCGCAGCTGCTTGGGGACGGCAAATTTCAAGTCCATTTGGTACGAAAACTGAAGTATCAAAGAAAGGGAATTCTTCTTCAGACTCTGGGCTTCATGTTTGCAATTATGAACTTGGGATTTTGTTCACTTTTCCAACAGAAGATAATGATAACTCAAATGTTAGAAGGTCAAACTTGGATGATATAGTTCTGCCGTTTGTTGTGCCTGCCCCCAGGTATGGATCTAGGGATAGACCAGCGACCATGCAGGCCATGAGAGAGGTGATGGCCGAACTTTCTGAGCCAAAAGAGGATTATCATGTTGAAGATGAAATTTTGGAAGAAATTACTGAGGAGGAGGAAGAACTGGAGGCAACAGATTTTGCAGCAGTGGAGAAGGAAGAGGACAAGGCCTATGCTGAGATACTCTGGAATCAGGTTGAGTTGTCCCAGAGCTGTTGAAGTCCTGCAAGAAGCAACATTGAGAGCAAATAGCGATGATTGTGTAACTGTCAACAGGAATATTTGATGCACAACCGTGACAGGTAAAAAACTATAATGTAATTTCTGAGAGGCAGGCTGGCAATTTTGGTGGTTGAACTTGAAGGGCACTCTGCAAATCTGGTTTTTAGTCTTGAGATGCAAGGGGTTGTCCTCGGACTTTAATGGATTTGATGGTGTTCCCTTATCACGAGGGTTGTTGATCTCCTGCTTGAAGAAAGATGATTGCTTATTATCTTAACCAAGTTATTGACGTTATTGATATTGACGAAGAGATTATGCAAATGTTAAAAAAAAAAAAAAAAAAACTCCGTTTTGTTAGGAAGCTGCAATTGTTCTGTGTGTGACGCCCATGAGCATAGTGCTGCTCGGCTATGGACTATGCTTTTTTACTTTTGTTAACTATTGATTGATTGATTGTAATAAAGAGATATTGTGATTTATTGATTGCATTTCTTTCGATCCTTTTTTTTTTAGGTGGTGTTGTTCTTTTGGTCCTTTAAACTTTTACTAAAAACATTTTTGTTCTTATTTATCTTTCATTTTAAAGTTTCGAAACAACATTATTACTATTTTTTCAAATATATTTTTATCTTCACTAATTTTAAAAAGTTTAAGGCAGCATTAATTATTAAAATAAATTAAATACATTATGAAAATAAAAAAATGATATGTTAATTATATTTTTAATCTATATGCTACAACATTAACCAACAAAGAAAAAAAAATTAATTATTTGATCTTTCTAATTTTGACTTAATTATAATTTAATTTCTTAATTTTAACTCATTGTAATTCAATTTTTAAAATTTTAATTCAATTGTAACTTAATTTTTAAATTTGGCTTGATTCAATCTATATTGTTCTAATCATATAAAATATTATTCCCAATATTTTAGAAAATAAAATTAAAAAGATTAAATCTTCATCATCTTTATTAAATTAAAAGTTTTAGTCATTTTAAATTAGTCCTTAACTGTCAAAATAATTTTAATTTTTTGAATTTTATTTTCAAGATATCAAGATCAATATTGTAAATATGAATTGCAGCAAATCAAAATTTAAGAATTAAATTGTAACTAAATCAAAATAATAAAAACCAACTTATAGTAAATTAAAATTTAAGAATTAACTTATAATTTGGTCAAAATTAAATAGATCAAATGATTAATTTTTTTAAAAAGCAGTACATTATTTACTTATTACAACAATATTTCTCTATACAATGCATGAAATAGAGTTTTAGTTGTTCCTAACTTTCACAGTTTCTCTAAATGAAAAGATTTGTTTTATACGTGGCACCTATACAAGTCACTTGCTTATCCAAAAACATAAAAACAAAAGAGAAGACGACTTAATGTTTCAGGTGAGGTACGACCATTATTTCTACAGTAGCACTATTGTAATAGTCAAGATGACTTAATGTTTCAAGCGAGGTTCGACCATTCCTAACTCCTAAACTCAAACTTTGACAACCCAACTTTTCAATTTCAAGCTCAGCTTCACAATTAATGGGTTTATTATCATTAACTCTATACTCTATTTAACTATCATTAACTTAAATAATAATTAATATGTCGCCCAACAACCCAAAACCTCACTTAAAGTGCCTAGGGTTCGTCTAAAACTTTAAAAATATTAAACAATGCTTATTAAATTTGTTAGGATTAATGGGTTCAGACTTATGGTCTCAAGGTTTGAAATTGTCATCCCTATGACAAATTCAAGTTGAAAAGCACATGGAGGGAGGAAGGGAGGTGAGGGAAGATGTATCTTGAGTGTGGAAGATTGAACCTCTTTAATATGGCCTCAGAAGCTTGCCTTGACAGACCAATGTCTTCACCTTGCCACCCTTCTCCTTTTTCTCTTCTCCTTTTCTTTTTTGGTTCACGAGTTGTGATAACTCGATTTATTCAAAATACTAGCTATCCGCCATAATGGGTGGTACATAGAGGGTTAGATCAAGTTTGGCCTTCTATTGAGCCCAGATGGCCCAATTCCAATGTAGACTTGATTTAACAATTAATAATGAATCCAACAATCTTATTAATCACTTCTAACCGCCCTTAAACTAAAATGACACTCAAATTTATCTATTTATTCTTGATCATTTAATTAAATTTGAGAGTTAAAATTTAAGATGTTACACCTTAGTGCACCAAAAAAGTAACAACCACTAAGCCAATGAAGCCTTTTAGTTATATGGAGCTAAAACAAAAATATAAGATAACTAATTTTGCCTTAGTAATTTTACTTGTTATTTTATTAATAGAACTTGTTAATTTACTAGAAAAACTTATTGGCAATGCCTTCTATATATATTTAACCCCTGTGGCTTTTTAAATCCCTAACTTGTAAATTTACTGATGTTATTTGTTAACTCACTAGCGAAAGTCACTGACAATACTTTCTAAACATTCAATCCTAATGACTTGTTAAACCTTTAATTTAATTTGTTAATTTACTAATACTACTTGTTAATTTCATAACAAAACGTGTTAGCAATACCGTACACATATTCAATCCAAGTGACTTGTTAAAGTCCTAGCTTAACTTATTAATCTACTAACAATTCTTATTAACTCATTAGCAAAACTTAGAGACAATACTTTATAAATATCATTGAATTTAAAATTTAAATAAACAAGTAATATTAGTAAATTAGTAAGTGAAATTTGGGTTTTAGCAAGTTACTAAGATTGAAAATTTGAAAAGTATTAACAAGTTTTGCCAGTGAATTAGCAAGTAGTATTAGTAAATCAACAAGTTAAATTAGAGTTTTAACTATTGAATATTTAAAAAGTATTATCAACAACATTTACCAATGAGTTAACAAGTAACATTGATAAATTTACAAGTTAAGTTAGGGATTTAAAACACCACAGGGGTTAAATATGTAGAAGGTATTACTAACAAATTTTGCCAATAGATTAACAAACTCTATTAGTAAAATAACAAATAATATTATTAACAAGTTTACTTAGCGATTGGTTTGGAAGATTAGTCATGTTATATATATTTATTTTGGTTATATATAATCAAGGAGCTTCATTGATTTAGTAGTTATTACCCTTTTGGTGCATCAATGAGTCTTGAATTCAAACCCTCCTTGATTACCTTTGGATATTTATTTCCAACAGCCTGCCTCTAGAGCTCTTGCAGCCTCCATGTAGGTGGTCTAGCAGTGATCCAATGATCGTCAATGGAACTTTAGCGAGGTGGATTTAAAAAAAAAAGTATTTAAAACACGCTATGGTAATTTATCTTGAAAACTTATTTTCAATGTTGGTGCATTGGTCCTTAAGCAAATTTTTATAATTCTTTGGGTGTCATTTTAAATAATGTCACATCCCTGGTAATTGAAATTCTCCCTTTATTATAATTTGAACCTGTCACAAGTAGATCAATTTCTTGCACAGAGTAAAAAAAAAAAAAAAAAATCTAGTTCTCCTTTTTAAACTGTTTTTTCAAGGAAAGAAATTTAAGAAAAAAAATTAAAATGCTACATAAAGTGGGCTTTAGAGTAAGGTTATTCTTGGAGGTTCTTTGTGCCTAATTCTTACCTTAGCGTACAGGGCGGTGTTTCAATGGTATAAGTTTGAGTAAATTTTACATTATATTACATTTATAGATAAAATGTGTGTGTGCATATGTATCTTTTGTTATCGAGAAAACTTATTTTGTTTGGTAAAAAGAAAAAAGAACACTTATTTTGTCAATAGTAATAAATATATGGTATTAAGTATACAATTTGTATTCTTATTTAAAAAAAAAACTATACAAATTGTATAAATCATTGATTGATGATTGATGATGATTGTTGGACATTACTTATGGCTTGTTCTTGTAGATCATCTGTAACGACTATGAATGTTTTTAGCCCAATCCCATGGTGATCTTAGTTGACCTGAAAGTTGATTTTAGTTTTTAGTGTTGTGTTTTCCTTCTAGCTTCAAGAGGGATTGTCAGAGTTGCTACTGTTTGCAGCTTGGGCATGCAAGGGTGTGGGCTCTTTGTTTGAACAAGTCTCTGTACTACCACCCTTTCCTATCGCTATCATGGTTTTAATAACAAGACTCTTAGACTGATTACTGTATCTTAGTATGCTTTTGGTTTGCAAGGAGATAGCTTTTACTTTTTTCTTTTTGATGATTTCTTTCTTTTTGGGTGTCTTAACTTGTTTGTTAGATCTTTGCTCTCGTGTGTAATTTTGTTTTCTAATAATATGAAGCATTTTTTTAAAAAGGTCAGTAAAATTAATTATATTGATTAATTAATATTAATTCATAATCATGTACACTCCTACGTTAAAAAATGTAAATTTTTTTGAAAGGTTTAACGTTAAAAAATATAAAATATTTTAATATTTTAAAATGTGATTAATGTATTTTTTTTAAGTGCCTATAATAAATAAATTTTTTTATATTTATTTTAAAATAAAAATCCTATTAATAAGAATCAATATAAAAAAATAATATTAATTTAAAAATAATTAATTTCTTTATTAATATATTAAATTTGATTAAAAATATTTCACACCTTACCCCAAAACAGAGGAGGGAATATATAACATTACCTGCTTGCCTTGGCGAAACAGCAAAGAATCATGTCTTGTTCAAAAACTTCTAAAGAAGTATGTATAAAAGATAATATTAAATCCAATGCGTTTTATACTGCCAAGGCTTTTTCTCTCCCTATGCTCAAAGCTCATGCCGGTCGAGTTTATCTTGGGTGTTCATTATTTTAGGGGGACAATATTTAGATCATTTAAAATGTATTCTGAATGATCTAATTTAAAATATTATTTTATATTTATATTTTATATTTTAAAATAAAAATTTAAAAAATCCAGTTTAAATTTAAAATATTATTTTACTACCAATCTCGTTTATTTTTAATTTAAAAGGCTAATTTAATATTTAAATTTTTGTATATTTATTATTTAAATGTATTCTGTAGAGTTTAAATTTAAAATTTTTAATTTGTAATTTTTTTATATAATACTTTTAGAAAAGTACCAGTTTTATATATTTTAATTTTAAACATTTCACTTATCAAAATATATAAATTTTAAAAAAATTAATATTAAATTTAGACTGTATAAAATAATTTGAATGATTAATATATAAAATTTTCAAATTAAATTTAGGCCAATGATAAAAAGACTTATTAATTTTTGTGTTAATTTTATGAAATTTTATTTTAATAAATATGAAATAAAAATATACAATAATGCATTAAATCTAAGTCATCCACGTTTTCAGATCAAATCGTCTGACGCACGAGATGAATCCATGCCTGATTGCCTCTGTTTGTGCGTCTTTTGCACTTTGTATTCTGTACGCTTATGAATCAAATTATATAATAATTTCAAGTCCGAAAGACCCTGTGCCCTTTAAGAGCCTCGGTCTTTCCCCGCAGTTTCGTTCTCACTTGTCACGCATATCCTGCTCTGCCTCTCGCGCCCTCACTCCACTCCTTGCTACTGAAGTGGCGCGTGCTGCACACTCGCCGCATTCTTCCGTCTTTTACGGGCGATCGGATTAGTTTAGCAGGTACTGACTTTGAACTTACTTTAGTGCGGATGTATCATTTGTCATCTGCACAAGTCTGTATCCATTGCGTCTTTGGGATGGTCTGATGTTCGCCTTTTATTTGTAAATAGTCATAATAGAATCGGAATAATCGCTGGTAGAATCGTTTTTTTATTATCTGCATTGGTTATTGGATGATTACAAGCAGCACTTTTCGTAGAAGCTGTCGTTCTTTTGCAAGCTTATGTATAGTAAGGATAAAATATATTGAAAACACAGATCTTTAATTTCTGTTCACCGTCCTCGTCAAAATTAGGGAGGCTTTCTGCTATCGCTGTTTGTTTTCTTGGAACATTGATAAGGTTCTCTCTCTCTCTCTCAAGAGGCAAAGCTTTTCCCATCGTTTGTTTCAAGAATTAGCGGGTCACTGGTTAGTTTTGGATGTTAATCGGAAATATTAATTACTGCTGTTGGTTTACTATAATATTAACTACTTTGGTCTGCTGGAGCCGCGAAAAGAAAGCGAAATCCCTTATCCTCTTTGGTTTTCTGTTTCTTTCGTGTTTAGATGTTCTTAAAAGACCTATGTCTGAGTTAACTAGGGACTGGAGAGTCAAGCTTCACATATAGCGGAACTAGTTTTACTATTTTTAGTGTTGGTAAGTTTCCTTGAACGCTATAAGCATGTCAACTTGGCCTCTGGTTGATTTTAGAGGTTTTTTTTTTTTGTTTTTTAACATTATAACCAGTGGAAAAACCTCTATGACTTGCCACTTCCTGACCTCTGAAGGAATTATGATTTGTTTTAATTTCAAGAAATGATCTTTTCTGACTAGGACTAGCACAAGATAATTTTTAAATCATGAAGTGTTCCGTTCGTTATGCAAAAATCTTTTGTAAGGTGTTTTGCACGTAGGGGCTTCCTTTGCAAAGCATTTATTTTACTCAGAGACTGTGTAGTGTTGCATCACTAGTCCTCCCTCTTTGACCATTTCTTGATTTCTAACTGCCGAGTTCATGTATTGTCAAAGCATGATTTTATCTTGAACAGTGCAATCTAGTTGTTCTTGTAGTGCTTGTTATATCTGATTGTGTTTGTGTTCTTATTTTGCTCGTTGCTGTAGTGAGTTTAATTTCCTTTAGTATATCATCACTTCCATTGTGAGTGATTGAGTTAATTGATATTCAGGACTAAGGGGTGACATGTCCTCGTTGTTGCTATGAATGATGAATTGAGTTAATTGATATCATATCATAGTTTCTTCTTTTTTTGATTCCTTATGTAATGGATTTGCTCTGTCATTATGCATGACTAACAACAATGATAATCATGATCCAGTGGGGAGCAACTGGAAAGATGAGTTCAGGAAGGGGGAGTGGAAGACCATTTACTGCGGCAAATGGTAATGATTCCTTGTCCAAAGGGAAAAGCATATATGAATCCAACCCAAATATTGAGCAGTTGTCTCAAGGTGTTGCTGATGCTAACCTAGACTCAGGACAAGAGGGTGGATGGGAGGTATATGGAAGGAAGTCCAAGAACAGAGCTGGAAGCAGTGCTGCAAAAACATGGGGTCCTTCAATTCATAATTCTTACCCTAGAGCATTGGGGAATACAGATGTGGCTCAAAAGCCAGGCCTCCGGCACCATGCAGGTGCTGGGCGGGCTTCTGGGAATCCCTGGCAGGCACAAAATGCTAACTTTAAGAGAACTGCTGGCAGAGGAAATGCAAGACCCCAGGTATCTACCACTACCAGTAGTTCTGAAAGTACAAACGTGACTCCAAATCCTTTGATTAGCCCTCCATTGGAGCATGGCTGGAATTGGCAATCTAGAGCTAATTCAATGCAGCCTAAACCCAACCCCCAGGGAGAAAATGAAATCACACTTGAGTCCACTGAGAAGAATAATGATGTTGATGATGAGGGGGAGGATGATTCTGATGCTATGGAAGATACTGATGATGATCTAATGAGTGATGAGTATGAATCGGATAGCAGTCAAAAGAGCCATGAGACTAGGAAGAACAGCAAATGGTTTAAGAAGTTTTTTGAGATGTTGGATAGCCTGACTGTTGACGAAATCAATGAGCCTGAAAGGCAATGGCACTGTCCAGCTTGTCAAGGTGGCCCTGGTTCTATTGATTGGTACAGAGGACTGCAACCGCTGATGACCCATGCCAAGACAAAGGGTTCTAAAAGGGTTAAGGTCCACAGGGAACTTGCATCACTTTTGGATGAAGAGTTGTGCAGAAGAGGTACTACAGTAATTCCACCTGGCGAAGCTTTTGGTAAATGGAAAGGCTTAAAAGAAGAAGAGAAAGATCATGAAATAGTTTGGCCTCCAATGGTTATCATTCAGAATACAAGGCTTGAACAAGATGAAAATGAGAAGGTATGGTTATATTTCCTTGTTTGCATCCAATATTGACTTACATTTGAAATTATAATTAATATGTGATTTTGATTTCTCACATTAATGTTGCAACTTGCAACACATGCTTAACCTCTCTGAAAATATGCCTGTCCTTGTGTTTAGTGGATAGGTATGGGTAACCAGGAGCTTCTTGATTATTTTAGCTCTTATGGTGCTGTGAAAGCTAGGCACGCTTATGGTCCACAAGGTCATCGTGGGATGAGTGTTTTGATTTTTGAAGCCTCAGCTAGGGGTTATTTTGAGGCAGAGCGTCTGCACAAGCATTTTATAGATAATGGGACTAATAGAGATGCTTGGTTTAGAAATCACCGTATTTTATTTCTTCCTGGAGGGGATCGCCAGCTTTATGGTTACATGGCTATTAAAGATGACCTGGACTTCTTCAACAAGCATTCCCAAGGTTCACTTCCTTCCTCTTTTCATTTGCCCTCTTCTTGATAGGCATTTTGCAGATTGTTTGATGTCTACCTGTTGCAGATTCACCATGTTGGTTCCATGGAGACACAAATGTGCTGACATTGTTTTCTGTCTTATTTCTTTCTCTGAAATCATGTAGGTAAGTCAAGACTGAAATATGAGATGAGATCATACCATGAGATGGTTACAAACCAAATTCGACAGATGAGTGAGGACAACCAGCAGCTTATATATTTGAAGAACAAGGTTGTCAAAGAAAAAATGCATGCTAAGGCTCTTGAAGAATCATTTGGCAGAGTGACTGAGAAACTGCGGAAGACTATGGAGGAAAATCGCATTGTGAGATTGAGAACCAAAATGCAACACGAGGAAAACAAGGAAGAGGTAAAAAAATGAGACAAATTTCATGTTGAATTTCAGGGGAACTGTTCTTTGATGTCTGTTTGATTGTGCCATGAACTTTCACGATATGATTATATCTTGGACAATAAAGTTGAGCTTAGTATACGGATTTCTGTATGACCTGTCTTGTTTGAACTTATCATCTCAAAAATAAGTCGTCTAATTATCTCGAGAGGAGCAAAGATGAGTTGTTTTAGTGGTGGGTTTAATACATGTGTTTATTGTCACTTGAGAAGTTTTATATGGTCCTTGAAGACAAACGAAATCCTAAATCTATTTTTACTGGCCCTGACTCCTCCAGAATATTTTCCAGGATTGATCTTAATATCTTAAAATATAACATTTCTCTTTGGAAAAATCAGGATCTGCTCTTTATCCAGGTTTTTTTTTTTTTTGTTTTTTTAAATGTCGTGGAGGTCTGACGCATGCTATTGCTGCCAATAAACCCAGTGTTCTGGCTCAGTTTGTATTGACAAATGAATTTTTTCTATTTTACCCCCTATCTACGGCTCAACTTACAATTTATTGCTGTTGCAATGGGAAAATTCTAGTCATTGTGGTCATTTTCGTCTGACTATTGTTCCTTTCTCATTGAAAGATGAACCTGCAAGAACAATTTTTTAAGGATCAGATGAAAGTCATTCATGAATCAAGGAATGCTAAGGAAGAAGATTTTGAGAGGATGCAGCAAGAAGAACGTGAGAAGGTGAAGGAGTCCAGTGCAAGTTCTATAAATGCGGAAGAGCGGAGACGCAGGTATGAGGTGTCAAGTACAAGTTCAATTCGTTAATTGCTTATGTGCATCTGATAGTGTTATTTTATTTTTTCGAACTAGACATTGTGAAAAGCAGTGGGTGATTCTGATTTGAATGTACGCAGTTAGGTGGTTTTTTTTTTTTTTTTTTTAAATCTTGACCAGGATACATTTGGTTTCGTTGGTGGTAGGGCTGACGAATATCTGAAATTCGTGGAAATCCAAGACAAAGAAATGGAAAGCTTCGTAGCGGAAAAGGAGAAATTGCTGAAAGCTCACGAGGACAATCTTGATGCGATGAGGCGGAGGCATTGGGAGGAGGAGGTTGACATGGAGAAACGGTTCGATGAACAACTGGCCGAACTCATGAAAAAGTACTCCCCATCTCGCCCTGAAACCAGTTCCTGATGCCATGGTTGGGTCATACATAAACGCATACAGATACAGATAGTCACAGCGAAATAGATGGACAATATTATATATAGTTGGAGACTGTTCCTCGTGGACGGCCCAGGCTACAGGCTTTTCCTTTTTTGGTAAACAAACTGGCTACACCTTTTTAAGGCTTGCGAACTTGAAAATTGAGGTTTCTTCTTGTCTTCAGTTTTGAGAAAAGCCGGGCAGGAACTGGAAAATGATGGCTCGTCTGTTCTGTTCTTTGGCATTTATTTATGGATGGCTTATTTTGATATTTACTGACCTTGCAATTGTGTTTCGCTGCTCGTCTTTTTCTAAAATCTACTTTATTAATTTTAATTTAAATCTTAATTGAAATTATCTTTTCTATCCATGGAATTTCATTCTAGACGAACGGTACTTAAAACGTAAATTATATTTCAAGCTTGATAAGGATTACGACTCGGGTTCGTGCTAATTTTGTTGCCTTGAAAATGGTCAGTTCAACATCATCATCGAGTCGTGCTAATTTGGTTGCTGTGATAATGGTCAGTCCAGCATCATCATCATCATGAAACTTGATGCGGTTTCTTGCTTCTTCCTCTTTAACTTTTCCTCCACCACCCCTCCTCCCTCTCCAAAAAAGAAAAAAAAAAAAGGAAGAGGGTTTGAAGTTTTGATTATTTTCTTGATACTGAAGCTTTGATTATTATTTATATTTCATCCAATCATCCCGGAGCTAACCTTGCCAATCCTGGTTAAAGGAAAACAACAAAAAGGCCTTGCTGATGTCAATTTTTTATAGGTTAAAGTTTACTTTTGTTTTATACTTATTTTTTAAGAGTGTTAGGTAATTTTTACTTTTAATTGAGGTAATTTTCCTTTGAAATATTTTTCAGGGTTCAAAAACGTTATTCTGTTAAGATGTTGTTAACTCTGTCATTTTATGCTAACGTAACATGGTCATAGAGTTATGTATAGTGGCAAATAAGATTTTAATTATATTTTTTGATATTCATTTATCTTTAATTTTTTTTAGGAGCATTAGGTATCTTAAATTTTTTTTAGGAGCATTAAGTATTTTAAAGTTTTGTTAAAATAAATTTAATAAATATTTTCATATTTAATAATTTAAATATTATTATTTATAAATATTCATTCAAAATTTATAAATTATTTTTTAAATATTAACAATTTAAATTAGTATTTTATAAATTTGAAGATAATTTTTTATTTTTTACATATCGATCTTTAATTTTTTTTTAAGACAATGTCTGAATTATTACGCCTTTTCATGTTGGAACTTATTTATATTTTTAATATTGGTTAAGTTTTTTAATTTTTTGGGTCAACTAATAATTTTTCTCTAAAATATTATACTATTTAAATTTAATATGCTCTTTCTATCTTACAATGTTAGGAGTAAAATTAGAAACATGACAAATCAAGACCAATAATATGACAACAAAAATATTTATTTGAAAGATATCACTTTTTTTATTATTGTCTACAAAAAAGTTACTTAACAAGAAGGAAAGGGATAGATGGAAAAAAAAATTCCTTCATTAATTGAGGTTTATTCCTTTTATTTTTAATACAAAATTACAAAATATAAAAAATATTCAGATATTAAATTGAGTAATGCAATGTTTTAAATAATAATATTTAAATTATTAAATATTAAAATAATTAATATTTTAATAATATTTATTAAATTTTATTTTAATAAGACTTCAGGTGCCTCACGCTTTTAGAAAAAGATTTTACAGTGTTTAACGCTTTTAGAAAAAAATTTAGAGGCAAATTAACACTAAAGATATGGTCAAATTCTTACATATCACTATGCGTAAGCTTTATACACATGCCACATCAGTAAAAAAGAGAAAAATTAACAGTTGGTTAACAAAAGAAGTTTTTGCTCCTTAAAAAAAAATTTAAAGATAAAATTATCCCATTAACAGTATAGGTGCTCAATACTCTTAAAAAATAAGTACAGGGTAAAATTTGACCTTAATCTTTTTTTTTATTGAGGATAACTTCTATTAGCTATTTTAGCTTAATGTAAAGGGAGAATCAAATCTAAAATCACTCAAAAATAATTATTCAAAGGCAAGGGTCAATATAGAGTATATTATTATTCAAATAAAAACGTAGCTCGTTTTTTTTTTTAATGTGACTTGTTGTTAGTTTTTATTTATGAATAATTTGCTTGAATAGTCTTTAGATATGATTCTCCTTAATATAAATCATTACTGAGCCTGGAGGTTTTATGTGGCTTTTAGCATGTTTGCCAAGTTCTCCCCTGATGGAGGCAACACAGTAGCCCAACTAGGCTGGTAAAATAATTAGGAAAAATTATGTATGAATCCTAAATAAAGAAATTATTTTGTTTTAATGAATTGAGACCTTTTTTTCCTCACCTTTTTTATAACCAAAGCCGGGGAAGAATGTTATTTTACATGTTTGTCTTATATCTATTTACATCCACCACTTATACAAGTGTATTTTGATTTTAAAGAATCTATCTCTAGAAGAAATTGTTGCGATGCATGTGTAGGTCATAGACTCGTTGGCCCACTAACTGGATCCCAAAACAAGTTAACCGCTTAACTTGATTTAGTTCTTAACACACAACATAATCTTCCCAATCTATAGTATGTGGTAACAGGACTCTGTCATACCAAAATGCACATTATTTTTAAAACACAATAGTCAAATATTCTACTCGACTCTCCTAAATTCCATGCTTTTCTTAGAATTACAGTTGAGACAATCTTATTTTGGGCAGTCACTTGGACAAAAATGGCACCCATCGCTGCCTTTTATAACAAACACGTATCGAAAATTTGTAATGTAAATCTCTTCTTTTTGTGGGCCATTCTCTTTCTTATTTGGCACATTCAAAAAATAAAAAAAATTTCTCTTTTGTCTCCTTGCTTAATAATCCATCGTTCTTCTCTTTCTAAGATGAAAAGTATCATCTAATTAAAGCTTGTTCATTACAACCAACAAAGCTCTCAAAGTCAACAAATATATATTCTCAGTTAGTCATAATTTTAAGGTATGTCACGTTCTTGTTCTTGGGTAATATAAAAAGTCATTTTCATTTTTATTCTCATTTAAATATGTAGATTATGCATTATGACTCTTTATTTATTATGAGTTTGAATTCACATTTAATGCCTTTAACCACTTCACTTGTGATTACACCTAATTTTCTTGTTTGTTTCTTTTCTTTTAGAGCTAGTAGTCTTGTTGTTTCATTGATTTATAGTTTTTTTGACTTAATTGTAGAATGGAGCTATCAATGTGAAATTTAACTATGCCATTTATCATTTTTATGTTTGACTTTCCCCTTTTGTTGATCCTAGTCTAATCTTAATTGCAGGTGACTATAAATCTGATTATCAAATAAAAAAGAAACCATGAAAAGGGAATCATTAACAACATTTGTTCAGACAAACACAGATTCATTCAGGGAAGTTGTACAACGATTAACGAGTCCAACAAACTGCACATGGCAAGTAAAGATGGTAAAAGATGTCAGTGTAAGGAGGACAGCCAAACTCCATGAGAGGAGGCAATATACAAGGCCTAAACTTGAAATAGTTAAACCTTCTTTTTATTGTAAATCAACCAACCACCATTATAATTTTTCACCTTGCAAGTCAAGAGATTGTAGCTTTCCTTTAAGTCCCATTTCAGGGAATTCAAATCAAATACCAAGTCCCAAAACTCCTTCAACAATTTTTCTCGATTAACTATTGTAGAGCAAGAAATGAAGGAAGAGCCAGGAATACCTGATCTAAACATAGAAGAAGAAGAAAAAGCTATCAAAGAGAGGCGGTTTTATTTGCATCCATCTCCACGATCTGAGGCGGGACATATTGAACCAGAACTGCTTACTTTATTCCCCTTGGTATCTCCGAGTGCAAGTGGGAAACTGTAATTTCAAGTGACCATGCTCAAGTTTCTGCTTTATATCTTTCCTATCTTCAGATTATAGATATCATGACATCATATGGCAAAAGTACTTCGAATATAAGTGAATAGACTTCCGAATGTGTTCTCTTTCCTTCTGTACTCTTCTTATCTACAAGTATTTAATTGAATATTTTATTGTTAAAGAATTCATCTATTTTATATTCAATCTTGGTAAAAAAATATTTAAAAAACTACTATTAAATTTATTTCTTTTAAGCTTACTGTGGATAGGTTTTTTTTTTTTTGTTCGGTCATTTTCAAATAGCATTACGCTTGGCGAAATCCCCCCCCCCCCTTTTTTTTTGGCTGCGAACGCCCGATGTTTGCCCTTCTTGGCTTTCTCTTCATCAATGTTTAATTTTATTGAATTAGTTGAATTTAATTCAAATATTCTTAAATTTTTAACAACAAATAATCTGAGTCTTTAATCTATAATATAAAAATAGAAATGTCAAAGCCAGCATTTATTAATATATACAGACATTCGCAATAAGAAAAGCCTCTCGTTTCGTTTAATCTCTTACATAGTCCGCCGGGGGCAAAAAACTTGTTCCATTGGCGTGGGCGTGTGGCAGCCCGGTAGCTGTGACTTGTGAGGCATAGGTTGCAGAAAGGGGACAAATTCAACAACAGAGAGGATGGACGTGGAATCTGTGAAGAGGTACTTCCAATTAGAGAAAGGAAACGAAATTGCATCAGTGATTCATGAGTTGCCTTCCAGATTTTTGGAACCCCTTGTCATGAGTGGCCTTCGCGTCGATCTAATTGAGCCAGGCCGTGTCGTTTGCTCCTTCAAGATACCCCCTCGTTTACTGGTACTAATTTCTCTGCTACACTGTATTATCCCATCTCTTCTTTCTCCCACGTTCGCAGCTGCGCCTGAGATGCGCTCCTCACTCGCGACCTTTACATAAATCCGATGATCCTTGTTCGCAAATGTGTTATCTTATAGCTGCTCTTTCAACTTTTCTTTTTCTTATCTAATGGGTTTTCTCACACTCCTAAGAATTCTTTCAATTCTTTGCACGGCGGGGCAACGTCAACGCTGGTTGATTTGTTGGGTTCAGCTGCTATTTACTCCGCCGGAGCTCCGGAGGTGGGAGTTTCTGTGGAAATCAACGTGACATATTTGGATGCTGCGTATGCCGATGTGAGTATGTTTTCAACTATGATTTGTCGTGCATTTGGTTATGGATGCTTTGTTGCTTGTATGAAATGGGCTATTTACTTGTGAGGAAGAAAAGGCTTTGGTGTAAGAGCCTTTAGTAATTGTCCTTGTTACCTCACTACAACAGACCGCGTCCTATTTCACCGGCCTAACTATATTATTATTATTAAATTAAACCACAGGTAGTAACCTCATATTCCTAATCCAAAGGTTCTCTCACTGAGTTTGTTATAATTGTTCAAGAATATCCTCAGAAAACAGTGTCTTGCCCTGTACAGTAAATAAAAGTATATATCCTTACAAATCCGTTGCACTCCTCATATGATGCTTTCTGACTCGCACGGCTCTACAGAACTGGAAGATGAATTGTTCATTTTTTTCGACCTAGCAACAATTCAAACAAGACCCCTTTAGAAGATAAACTATCACAATAAAAATGACTTGGTCTGCATTCATAATTCTCTTATTTTCTCTGCTCGTAGAGCATGGTTGCTGAAATGTTGAGTTTTTCCGATTCATTTCTATCTGAGGTTTTATTCTGTCCCATGTTACGTCAGGAGGACATTGAGATCGAGGCCAGGACTCTACGCGTTGGAAAGGCTGTTGCTGTTGTCAGCGTAGAGTTTAAGAGGAAGAAGACAGGCAAAGTTTTCGCAATCGGTCGTCACACCAAGTATCTTGCAATTGCTAGTAAACTTTGAGAGGGAGCAAATAGACCCTCTGAAGTCAGTTGTACAAGTAAGCCTCACTACAAATGTCGCTCAGATGGCCCTTCCGTTTAGTAGGTTGTTACGGGGATATTCCCTTGAATCTTCCCACGCCTCTACAAGTTGGCGCGCTCTCACTAAAAAAATATTGCACCATTCTTGTGTGTCGTATATAAATATTAAACAGCTCTTGCAGGAATCGTGTTTATTATGAACAGCTTTTTGCAACGTAGAAGCAATTCTTGCTTCATTTGCTTCTGCAGGGATGCAAGGCATCCTACTCGTGAAATATTTTAGCAATAAATGTTGACATGTATAGCGATTCCTGATTGCCCTTTTAGCTTTTGTAGGCGCAATAGCCTTTGATTACGAAGAGAACACCAGTGATTAGCAAGAGCAATTTGCTGAACCAACCAATTGAATGCATGGCCGGTGCAAATTACACACCCACTTGAATCTCAACAAGGATGGTGGAGTTTTTTCGTTAACACAATTTGCTAATAGTTGAAATGGACACCTCAAGTGTTCTTTCCAAAATATATAATTACCAAGTAATTGCTTAAGCTAACCATTCATGATGTCATTAGAGCCAGTGCCTATCAATCCCAGAGCATCCCTGAAATCTAGTGTGTTTCTTATGGTTCGCCTTCCAATTCCTCCATTGCCCATCCTCATCATTGCAGCAAATTCCCCATAATCTATTTTTCCATCCTGCACAGCAAATTTCCCATTAATCTTATCAAGCAAATTGGAAACTAAGAGGTTTTCTAGTTCTGCAATGGCCGACACACATAATGATGCCAGGGGCATATCATCCCGAGGAACTTGTGCTCAGTACAAGAAAACTTGCAATTGAAAAACAATAAATACTCACATTGTCTTGATCAATTTCTTTGATCATTTCATCAATATGGACATCGCCTAAACCAAATTCCTTACAGGCTTGTTGAATCTCATCAGTGGTTATGTAACCACTACCATCTTTATCAAAATAGGAGAAAGCTGACAACAGATTTTCCTCTCTCTCCAGCTTATTTAAGTGGATAGTCGCAGCAATGAATTCACCATAGTCAATTGTTCCACTATTATCAATATCAGCCTGTCACTGACACACGATAAGATATTGTCCTACTATAAAGTTCAAAAGTCGAAGACAAGGTGGAATGAATAACAAGAGATTAATCTAAATATTGAACACTTCATCTTACTGCATCCATAAGATCCCTGATCTCGGACTCCATAGGTTCAGACCCCACTCGCTTTAAACCATCTTTTAACTCATCAAAAGTTATGGTTCCACTGTTGTCTGTGTCAATCATCTTGAATAACTCCTTCAATCCACCAATCTCTTCCTCAGAGAGCCTCTCAGCAATTACCTGTGATTAAGATAGACAGTCAATGTCACAATTTTAAAATTTGACCTGCAGAAAAATATGAATCAAACGACTTAGCGTCATGTAAAAGTTTAATCCATATGAATTCATGTAAAGTATCTGGATTCACATATGTCATCCAGTTGATTTAAAAAAGTGCATTGCTTGAAGTGTAGCTGAACGTGACCAAATAAATGCATTTTGAAAATGCTTTCACTGCAACAAGAATTAACACAATTAAGTATTTTTGACATGTTATTAGCACAAAGACACCATTTAACTTCAGCAAGAAAATAATATGAAGCCTTACACGTAAAGCCATCTTTTTAAGCTTATTCATTGCAGAGAACTGTTTCAGACGTGATAAAACAGCAGAGTCAAGGGGCTTATCAGGTGCGATATTGTCATCAACAATCCATGGGTGGGCTGACACAACAAACCACTTTAGTACTGCATGTTGTATATCAGAAGTCACTGCATTCTAAGAATTGCTTAAGCATTAATGCTTCAAAACCCAATTATCATACCTAGTTCAATATAAAGATTAAAGAGACTTACTGAGTACTTCATGGGCTGTAAGCCTCTTTTTTGGATTTTGATCAAGCATTTTTCTAATTAGATCCTTGGCACTTTCTGAGATGTTAGGCCATGGTTCTGACTGAAAATCAAATTTTCCTAGTAAAATCTGTCGGAAGATCCCTATTTCACTTTCTGCAGGTGGCAGAATTAGTACAACAATATTAGCATTGAGGAATAGATGAAAATCAAGAAAATAAGCTTACATCCCCAACTGATATTCCCTATGCCCATGTTATGAGTACTTAATGTAACACATATTTTTGGCTAAATTCATTTAGCGTTTTGAGCTCCATTGTCTACATGTTTATCATTTTCAAAGTTTCTCTTCATTACTTTTATATTATACAGTTATTTTCCTATACATAGATGTTAAAAATTCTCTGCATTGCACGAGGGGAGATCTCAGCTTAACATATGAATAGCAGGTAGTTACCAGCCCAAAAAGGTGGCAACCCACTTAATAAGATGTTCAAAATAACCCCAGCACTCCACACATCTGACTCAGGTCCATAATGCTTGCGTAACACCTCTGGTGCAACATAGTATGGGCTCCCAACAACATCAGAAAAGGTTTCACCTGGAAATTATATCACTGGGTTAGACATTCACAGAGGGAAAATGTTTTTTGTTGATTTCACAATGGCAGAAATGAAGAGACGAAAAATCAAACTTTCGGTCCCACCTATACGAGAAGACTATTGCGTCTTATTTAATTTTTAATAACTGCTCATATGTTTCTATTAACTTTTTCCAACTCATAATTAGCACTTGGAACTGGGAACCTGATGTGTACCGACTAGGAACTTTTGATCAAAATTTCTAGACAAACTGCAGCATATAAAGGATGCAAGCAAGCACTAAAAGCAGGAAGCATATCCAGAGTATTGAAGTACATCAGAATCATTTAAACAATATCAACGAATAGCAAATAATTAGTCTATATGTCTAAATATGTTTATTCAGCTTATTATAGCAGCATTATTAGCCCAGACGTCATTCCACTCCCCGTCAGATTTCGATAGTTCAAAATTTCTGTAATGCAGGACATCAGGGTCCATTACTCCGCTCGACTGAGAATTATTCATGGAGAAAAGAACCGAAATTTGAACCCATATTATGAACCCTCCATAATGAGCAGTGTAATGTTGACCTCTCAGATTGATAAGAATTCAATTAAAAAACCGGCAAAGACTACAAGAAGCATTTTGCTAGAGAACTTGAGCCACTGAAGCAGCCATTCCCAAATTAATCTGGAGCTTCTGCTGAGGATCCCTAAGAACAAGAAATCATCCGAAGACGAAAGGATCTAAGTCAAATGCACTCCAATTTAGCAATGGAAGTTAACGTAAGAGAATGATAATATCATTTCACTTTGTGACGTAGTTATAAAGTACTTCGATGAAAGCTGAGTTTAATTAAGGAATGGGCCCACAATTAACGTTTAGAATGGTGAAGGTGCCCCCAAACAAATGATTATTGTCCCCATTTTCCACCTTCAAAATGCACCCAAAAGAAAAGCATACAAATGCGGCGATGTGATCGTAGGATAAATCAGCAAATAATCATATGCTTTTACAATTTGAAATGATGGCACCGTCCAAAAAAAAAAAAACAATCCTGCCAACGTGGTGGCGAAACTGCGCAAGCATTAAAAGCCATTACATACAATAATGCCCGAGATTTGCAAAAATGATACAAGAAGAAAAAGATAAATATGCTTGAGAATCAACCTGGCTTGTAGAAAACAGACATCCCGAAATCAGTGGCTTTAAGTTTAGCATCCTCTTCGACGCTATCGAACAAGAAGTTCTCTGGTTTGAGGTCTCTATGCATGACCCCAAGAGAATGACAAGCTTCGACAACCTCAACAATGGTCCTGATCAACGTAGCTGCTTGCCTCTCACTGTAATGCCCCTTCTGCACTATCCTGTCGAATAACTCTCCACCTCCGCAGAGCTCCATGACCAAATGAACAGAGGAGGAGTCCTCGTAAGTGCCATGGATTCTGACGACGTGGGGATTTTCGGACAAATGGTGCATGATCTGAATCTCCCTCCAAACGTCGTCGTAATCCTCTTGGCAGATTAGCTTACGCTTAGGGATTGTTTTGCAGGCATAGGCACGACCAGTGGACTTTTCTGTGCAGAGGTAAGTGGTGCCAAATTGACCCTGACCCAATTTCCTTCCCAATGTGTAAAGTTCAGAGAGTTGTTGGGTTCGATAGGGGAGAACCCATAAGGGTTTTGATGGAAAAGTGGCTATGCTCGCTTTCTCCATTCGATTCTACTCCGGACGTCTATGTCAGAAAACAGAGACAGAGCGAGAAGGAAGACTGTAAGACGTTGAAAAATACCTAGGACTACTCACCCTGAATCCCCCTATCCTACTTCACAGCAAAGAAACCATCTTTTTCATCCTATGTTCTCTCCCCGGGAGTGCTTTCTTCCCTATCACTACACTGATCCTCTTTATATAAATTTTCTCCTTTTTGTTTACCGCTTCTGTGGTACTGTTTTCTTCCCCTGTCTCCCCATCCCATGGTCAGATTTTACCTCGATTCTTTAAGAGTAGAAAATCTTTTCCAAATAAATTATTTTAAATATATATAGGTTTTAGGAAAAATTGATAAAAAAGACCCAGTTAAGATCAAAATTGTGCCCAAAGATCAAAGTAGCTTAAAGGATTTAGTCTGTTATTTTATTCATAAAATAATTTGATCAAATGACCAAAATGCCTCTTTATGTTAACTAAAGAGAAATTAAAAAAATGCACAAAATTCGATCGAACCACTCCTCTAATAGTTGACGGTGTGCTTGCTGGAGCTCCAGCCGATAAGTGAAAGGTCGTCAAAAAGTGATATCAAAAAAATTCAACACCTTGTGATTACATGTAATCATCAAGGATTACATGTAAACTTAAACAAATAAAGGGTGCAAGGATTCTGATTGAAGGTGCAAGGCTTCTGGTTTGAAGTGTGAGATTCATAACTTGGGTACAAAGAATTTAGCTTAGAGTGCAAGGTTTTTGACTGAGGGTGCACGCATTCTGGCTTAAGGTGCAAGACTTATGGATTATGGCTTGGATAATTACATATAATATCTTGTGAATTACATGTAAATCAAATGTACAAAGAGCACTAACTGTCAATGCTCTTGTAATTACACGAAAATGATTATGGATTACATGTAAATCAATATGAAAAAATATTTATGAGTGTGCCTAAGAAATAATTTATGTGTAATCTCTTTCAAATTACCTGTTAATTGTAAAATCTAATAGCAAGTTGTGATATCCTTCTTTATCTAATCATAATTAAAATCATAATACATGATAATTAAAGAATTGACATATAAAGAGATTACCAAGTTTGTAATTTGAAATAACGGGATCTTAAGTTTTCATAGTTTAAAATAAGTTAAAACTATACATTTTGACTTTAATTAGGGCAAAATAGTGTTACAGAAGCATGAATAACTCAGAGGAGTGAAAGAAGTTTAAAATAGTGAGAAAAACTCAAAATGTTGAAAATAAAGCAGTGCGTCACAACTTGTGCACATTACGCCACGGCTTGTCACTCTTTTTAACACATGCCATGGAGTATTGCACGCCCATGACAACAAATTATACTATCATTTAATAACAAAATTCGGGCAATTTTTGAATTAGCCTATTTCTCCGCCCGATATCTGAATGACATGATTTAGGTATTTATAAAAAGCTCTTTTTATAAATTAGCTAATGTATGGGTTTCGCTTTCAAAACAAATCATACTAGGAAGTTAGACATCTAAATACTTTTTCACACTTTTTTCACAAACATTCACAATAAAGAGTATTTAAAACCATATACAAGTGTCAAAGGTCATTACTAACATCCAAACCATATTTATTAGACTTATGACTACTTATACAATACACCACATACACACATACACCATTACATCACAATTTCACTCATCAACCCTTTAAATACCAAAGAGAGGAGGAAAAGGTTTTTCACATTGCATTTTAAAATAGTAATTCCATTAAATTTGGTCTATCTTTTTGTCAAATAACTTTAAAATGCTAAATAAAGACCATAAGGCATCTCATATTAAAAAAAATACCATAATAGTAAGAACAACATCAGGCCCATGTTAAACTACATTATACCCTATAAAAAAACAAATAAGAAAAATGGTCATAAGTACACTTTAAAATATAGTCACATTTTCATTTAATCTTTCAGAGAAATCCCTTAATCAGCATTTCCTTGTAGCTCACTTGAATTATAATATGCGTGTAAGAGTTTCATGACTTGAACTTTTTTTTTCTCATCTTCAGTCAAAACCTTATGTTTTACTGCATCTAAAATATTATACCTAAAATAAAAATTAATAGCCATCACAAGTAGGTTATTCAAGCATTCATACACAACACCCATAAAATTACAACCAACAATTAAAAAGAATATTAAATAGATGATTACAATTTACAATTATCTTGTAAGAAATCTAGATTCCCCATGACAACTGACATGGGGTGATTTAATGCTATAACAAGTATGCCTTTTATTATATAAATAACAAAGAAAACATATTAATGATAAAATCATAATATAAAGCACACCACCATTAATCCAATACTATAAATTGACATGCCAATCATAAGTTAATGATTGAAGTTGCAAACATTAATAGATAAAAGAGATGATAGGCTCAATATATTATTAATACCTGAAACATAAATTTTGGGAAGTTCATTATGAAATTATGAATACTGTCACGATTTCATTATGATGTTAAGAATGATTTAGTCAAGCAGATCATGGTCAAGTATTTCATTTATATTATATTTATTACAAAACAAAGTGATTATAGACAAAAATGATTGCATTTTGTATGCATATGACAAAATGGAAAGCTTGCACGTGTTTCAAAACAAGCCATCTACATAAACAAGATCAACAAAAACATACATACGGTACTTTTATCATTCTTGTACAATTCCTCCATTCCAGTAGCAACATTAGAAAGTAGAGATCCTGCTTCTGCTTTCGCTTCTTTCCTAATTATCAATAAAAGTTGTACAAAAATACAATAAAAATTCAATAGTAAAACAATTTTAAGGATTTGATGTAAAAACTATGCCAGAAAATAAGAGTATTGTAAGAAATAACATTTTACACAAACCACGTCTCAAAGTGCTAAATTCCGTAAGTGACTATATTTAATAATCAAATCATTCTTTGAATCTTTATACAATATATCAAAAGATTTCCTAATTTTTGAACCATCACCTTGAACTTCATATTGTAAAGCAATATCCATTGTGTGATTTGCTTTTAGTTTTGCTATAGACAATAAAAGCATATGGCAATTATATCAAAAATAAATGGTTTACAATTATATCATGATTGTTGAACAAATTAAAAATCAAAATCAAAACTATAGGAAAGCTAAGCAACAAATTGCATCATGATATTTATGAAATTGTGAAACTATGAAACAAGATAGTTTTAATAAATGACATTTATAAAATAGATGACTAAACAAAATGAGCAAAAACAAGGAAAACTAGAAACACTTACCAAATGTCCTTCACAGAACCATAAAAAGAACAATTACTATAAAACCTCAATAAATGGCATAGATTCAATGTCACTTACAAGAGCAAAAAATATACTCCCATGTGATGAATTGACCAAGATAACCTAGATGAAGAAGAAGCATATATACTTCACAAAAATTCTTACCCACCATACCTTTAAGCTCAATCATACAAACATCTACTAGTCCCTTCTTCCCATCTATAAAAATTACAGTAACTAATTAAATTCAATCTTTTATGACATATGTGATGTGTGGTACCATCGGTATTAACATTGCCAAAACTCTTTATCCATGCAATATGAGTATGCAAGCAACATATAATATCAATTCCCTTTAAAGATGTTCTCAATTTTATGGAAGATAGTTTATTTTGGGATTAAACATTTATTTAGTGGGGCATTTACATCTAATTATATGGAAACAATATAATCACAAACATATTGAATTCCATCTCGCAAAACATACTAGTATATTCATGATTCATAAGTTTGAGTGTTGGCTCCTTATGTCCAGACTATAGTTCTTACTCCTCGTTAGATTCTCCTAAAAAATTTTGACATTGAAATTCAAGTCCATGAAATCAGAATAAGATAAAGAATTAGCAAAGCATCGAATAAAGAGAGGCTTTGATCTATCTCATATTTTACATATTATACACTTGATTTTTAGTATCAAATCATACATATTAGAGTTTATTTCCTAATTTTTTTAATTATCTTTTACATATTGACTTCATAGACCCTAATAATACTATTTGATAGTTACTTTAACACTTGCAAATGCTAATTGAAATTTTTGGGCTTAAATTCTCTTGTTCCTTCCTTTTTAGTTGTCTTTTGAGAATTTATTTAGTTTTTTTGTATCTTAGTTTTTAGATTTTTGAGGAAGCAAACTTCGATCAATAAGCAAGACTAAGTTAATATTCTTGAAAGAAGTCAAGAGCATATAAAAGGGTTGAATGGTGTCATTTTTAGATTTGATAATTCTAAGTTGGTTTGTTAATTTCAGAAATTAAGTGGAGAATTGATTAAATACAAACCAAAGAGAATGGAATGCATTAGAATGACATCATCATAAGGCTTAAAGGAGTGCATTTGGTGTGTGAATGAAGTCTGATTCAATTGGATGTATTGGATGACATCATCTTAAGGCAAAGGGGAGCATTATATGTGTGATTCAAATCTAATTTAAAGAGGGCTTAGAATGACATCATTATGAGGCTTAAGGGAAGCATTTATTGCGTGAATTCATTTAAATTTGAGGGGCTGAATACGTGGCATCTGATCAACTGTTGAAAGGAGTCAAATTGGCCTTGCCTTGTTCACATTTTCCATGCTCTTTGACTAGCACATTTTTGGTGCCACTTCCTTTGAATTTCCAAAATTAATTTCTTCAATTTTAATTTATTTTCTCCAGCTGGAATTCATCTTTAGATTTAGACTTTGGAAATATCAACATCCAACTTTAGAATTATTATCTTGATTCACATTATTCACACATACATAAGCTTAGATTTTAGATTCAAGCCTCATTCTTTACTCTCCTTTTTTTCTCTCACCATCTGATTCCTCTCAATTTTTCTCTCATCTTCCAGCTAATTCTTCACGCCATTTCATCATTATTCTTTAAGTCTAGATTTGTTATTCATCATTCAAGCTCCATTCCTCATGTCCTCTTCATCATTCCTTCAATCCAGATCTGGTCCTTCATCAATCTAGCCCATACACATCCATATCTCTTATCTTCTCCAATCCAATTACATTTATCTTCGCTTCTATCTCCAGCTAGAATTTTGTCTTCCATTCAACTTTGATTCACGTTTGGCAAGCATAAAATTCTAGATTCATGAGATTCTCTCAACTTCAAGGTCTAATTCAATTGAAAAAGAAGAACATGAGAGGCTAATCACCTAAAGCTCTAAGAAGGAGGATTTGACATTATGAGATTTTCAAATCTGTAATTTTCATTCACTTTCTTGATTTCATGTTCTTTTTTGATTCATTTTGGATTTCGATTCTACACCTATGTTTGGTTAAGGCATTTGTAATTCTAATTCAGATTTGATGAGAATTTGAGTGTTGAATTTAGATTTTTATGCTATGTTCAAATCTGAAATTTATGATTTAACTTGATGTTCTAAGGTTATTTCATAAATTCTTGCCGATTCTTGTTCAAGTTCAAGTGTTGACTTGAGTTAGATCTATATTAATTTTATGAATTTGGCTTAAGGTATTTTTTTTCCACTAGTTTTGGTCTGAAACTTGTGTAGAATAAGGCTGGGCATACTATTAATTTTAAATTCACTTAACCTAGATTTATTAGTGTCCATTGAGTTTAATTGTACACTGCACTTAAAGGCTTCTAAGTGTCTCATTTTAGGTTAATCAAGAGAGTTTGTGTTAATATAATTTTAAAAATCAATGATTAATGTTAGTAAATCTGACTTGGGCTTATTGTTGCATTGTAGGCTTAGTGTGGTTACTTAAAAATCTAGCTTAACTTATGGCACTTGAACAATGATTTTTATGCTTTGCTTCTTAGGAAAATGACCTAGAATATTCACTTCTACATTCTAGTTAAACTTGGTGACCTGAGGCAAGGCTTCCAACTCTAAAAAGAACCCATCCTATAGAAGTTTAACGACGAATGGAGGTTAGTGATGAGGAAGAGATGTTGAATTGGCAGAGAAATATGATCAATGATAGCTGAAGGGAGAATGGAATGAAATGAGATGGGGAAGACTTACTAAGAATGAACAGCGGCAAGCTTAGCAAAAACGAAGAGAACACAAGCCATGAAGGTGAAAGATGGTAGGCTGATGATGGAGACAATGAAGTGAGCGACAAGGGATGATGGTAGACGAAGGTGGGAGCTCAGAAACACAGACAAAGAATAATGTTGAATGAGTGAGGGGTGTTTAGGTCCATTCATCCCATCTTTTTTTGAATATTATAATGAATTTGGTCCTTAATTTTCCTTTAGCCTTTGGGCACAATTTCCTTTCTAATAGGTTATTTTTACCAATTTTCCATAGTTTTTATTAAAAAAATTTATTTACTTATTTTTAACATTAAATTTATTTTATTATACCTTTAAATATTTAACACACACACTACGTGTATGTGCGTGTATGTGTGTATGTGCATATGTGTATATATATAAGGGTTGAAAAAGAGTGCACAGGCTCCCTTGAATTGTTTTTTATTTTCTTTTTCCAATTATTTTTTTTATGAAGAAAGTTAGTTGAGTCAAAGTCAAAACTCGGCCTGGATGTTCGTCGAGCTAGGCATCCAGCATGTTCAAACCTGTAGGTTAGCCAGTTTCTCCATTTGAATACCCTTAGCTAGCTTTCAAACATAAATTAGTTAAATAAATTTAATTGATATGTAAAAATTTCATAAATAGGAAGGGAGCGATTGTGCGTAAATATTTTTGTGGAAAAGAACATGGTGTACTACTATATACATACAATGTCCCCAAAATAAAATAAAGAAATTGAGACGATGAAGTATGTATGTTTTGAAAAATGGATCATTCAATGTGCTTTAACTTTTTTGCCATTGATGCTGATATGCTGAGTTAGAAAGAAATAGTGGGGTCATCTGGAATGTAAACAGAGACCTTCTCCAACCCCAACGTTTATCTATGAGCAATGATGATAGATATAAAAAAATGAATGGACCAACTCAAAAGACACAAAGTAGAATCCACATATGCCAATATATATATATATATATATAGGGGGAAGATAAAAGGAATTGGGAGTAAATGTATCTTTTTTTTTTGTTTTTAGTTTGATAGGGTAAATATACTATTATTGTGTATTATTTACATTTTTTCGACATGATATTATATAGTTAACCACGCCTCATCATATCTCTATATTTCATCGGCTGTTCTGACTTCTAACATGATCTTCTTTTTTATATTTATCTTAGAGGCATGATATGCAAGATAGTAGCATACTCATCTATCTCTTTACATGTGCTTGTAAGTAATCATCTTATCATATTGCATAATGAGTGTTGTAATATGTATACATTCTCTTTCATGTACTTTGTGGTTGGAAAATGAGGGAATGAGAGGATTTGTTACAACATAACCCTTGTGATGGCCACAAGAAAATTATAGTCATCTTCAATAAAGAAAAACTATCAGCTTATTCTCAAGAAATGCTTTTAACCATGAAATATTCAGGTTAATAGTCTTTATTTTCTTTTTTTTAAGGAAACATGATATTGACTTCGTCATTGGAAGTATCATTGGTAGCTAGGTAAGTTAAAAGACGAGTGGAGAAATGTGGCGATGCTGAAGTAACGTTAATGGTGTGCACTGTGCAAGGTTGGGAGAGAGAAGAGGGAAGAAAGAGGATGATTCTGAAAGGAATAATGGAGAGAGAACCAATGTCGCAAGTGTATGTAAAGTTGCTTCCTTCTCTCCCTTGTTATTTGCATGCGTGTGGCTTGTCGAGGTTGATGAGAGGGAAAGCTCAGGCAGAGGAGGAGGGAAAAAACTGAGTGTTCGAATTAACTAAATAATCAATTTTTTGAGTTTAAAAATCAATTTTTCAAAAAATTATCCAAACACTAGTTTAAGTAGGTAATCGATTATTGAGAGAAAAATTGATTTTTTTCTAAAGCTGCTTTTGTGAGCTTCTGGCAGTCAAATGAGAAGGGAAGAGAATTTAAAAAAGAAAAGAAAAGAAACATCTGATCAAAAAGCACAGAAAAAATACAAGAAAAGTTAAAAAAATTATAAAAAAGTTACAAAATTTAATAAAAATAAAATCAAACTCTTTTCTTTTCTTTTCTCTTCTCTTTTTTTTCTTAATAAAATTTAAATTTTGAATTTTTTAAAAAATTACTAGCAAACCACCACCACATTTTATTTAGCATTTACTATAAAAATAATTTAAATAAGACATTAATTAATAAGGAAAAATTAATTCAATTTAATTTAAATTTAGGGTAATTATAAAGATTGTTGCAAATATTCAAAGAGAGAGAGAGAGAGATTTTGTATCATGTGTTATATTGCTATATTTTTTATGTTGTCAAAATTTCAATGCAGTGCTTAACATCTTTGCTAGATATGGCTCATATTTGTGATTTTATTAGAGATTAACTTGTATGTTATTATCTTCATTAGTTATTGTAAAATTAATATTTGTATTTAAAAATTAAATCTTTTTCTTTTATCAAGTTTATTTGAATTAAGATATATTGAGTTATTTATTTACATAAATTAAATTATTAATATTAATATAATTTAAATTTTTATAATTAATCAGATATATCATTAAAATAATATATTTTACTTCTTAAATAAAATTTAACATATTTAATAATATCATATACAATTTATTAATAATTTAATTTTAAAAAGTAATGTCCTTAATGGTAATTTGTATAATTAAATTGATTTTGACTAAAATATTCAAACATATTTAATTTTATTAAAATTAATTTTAGATAAATAATATCCAAGCAAATTACATTATAACATGATCAATTATAATCAAAATTAATTATATTAGTTAATTTTTTTATAATCAGTTATACCCCACTAAAATTTAAACAAACTCTGAAAAAATTAAGGTGCCTTGAGTTACAATCAATTCAATTTCTTGTGATTTTTATGGATGCATGTTCCCCACTTACTTTAACGTTAGCTCGGTGTCCTAGTTTTGTTTAAAGAATAAAATTTTGGTGATCACAGATGTTGTAATGGATGGAAATATTTTTTTATTAAGAATTTCAAATAATAAAAATATGGCAACTCGTTGTTATGGGTTTTTTTTGGTTCGGTCTCCGTTGGTTGGCACCCCACTGGTCGAAAAAAGAAGGTGCTATAAAATCCTAAACCCTGCGGAAACTGAGTTGTGCTCGCTCCACTGCTTCGAAGCTCAAACCTTTCCGAGTTTGGAAGAGAGGACGGCATGGGCACCCCTGAACCAGAAGAAGAGGCACTTCTTAACCGTGAACATGAGCTCCGTCTCATTCGCTGTACCCTCTCTCCTTTACCCTCCATGTTTCCCCCTCAGTCTTCACCGTCCGAGAAAGCTCCCAATCTCGACGCTCTCATCAACCATCTACTCGCTTTGATCGAGAGCGGCAACTATTTTCAAGTCTTCAACTCCCAAGCTTCTAGGCTTGTCTTCCAACTTGGTGATGAATCGCCTTTCTTCTTTGACGACACGATCGATTGCGCCGACCGCCTTTACTCTGAGTTGCTGAAGCGCGCCGTGTCGTTTATCGAAGTTAACTCGGCAAACGATGCGGCAAAGGCTTCTAGGATAATGCTTGTGATGTGCATCGCGGTGGCTGCGTTTCTTGGGTTCTCACAATGTAGCATTACCGGGTTAGATTGAAGTGCAAGTTTTTTCCCTTCAAATTCTGCAAGCCATCGCTTTTATACTTAGAATCATGAAACTCTGCACTCTGTTTTTGATCAACTTGAATTTGAACTGTTGTAGGCCGTTGAATGGGCTACCACGATGTCCCCTGTCGCTGGAAACGGGGAAAGGCGATGAATATCGAGAGTGGGACAGTTGGGCACGCAATCAACTTATGTCTGCTGGGTCTGATTTGCTCGGGAAGTTCTCTAATATTCAGGTTTTGATGCATTTAATGCCTAACCTTAGCCGCAATTATTATTCCTCGTGTTACCAAGTAACTGCCCAAACTGTCAAACACAACCCCAAAAAAAAAAAAAAAAAAACAGCACTGCCCAAGTCAAATGTTGCATGCAGAGGTGGACAGAAATTGTAATTCTATTCTCGGTCTTCGAATTTTAATTTGGTGGTATCTGTCTGTTGTTTTGCAGTATATAGTTTTTGCTAAAATGTTGCTTATGGGGATGAAAGATTTACTATCTGGAGGAATTCTCTCTCCCAAGATTGGGTTTAGAAGCCTTTCTTGGTGGCTTGCAAGGGTTTTACTTCTTCAACAGAGAATTTTGGATGAGCGATCTTCTTCTTTGTTTGATCTTTTGCAAGTCCATATGAGTGAAGCTTTACAACAATTTGGCGATTCAGAAGCTGTTACTAGTTATTGGGATGCTAATTTACGTGTTGGTGAGAGCTCTGCAGTTGTCTCCATGATTCATTTGGAGGCTGGAATTCTGGAATATGTATATGGACGGACTGATTCTTGCAGGTGAATTACATTATGATTTTCATTATTTTCATTTGGCATCTATTGAATATATATTCACTCTTTCTTTAGTATACATACGTTGTGAATTTTCATGTTAGTATTTTGTTTACTGCGAAAGTAGAAGGTCTACTTTTTTGCAAGTTACTTATCAGGCTTACCTTATGTCCTATTACATGTTGTGATGGTTGCAGAACTTCACAATAAGCATGCCTTAGTCATCACATATTGGTGGAAAAAGATTTATTTTCTTCCATAGTTGTTGTGAAGTGTGCCCCTAGAGAAGTTTTCAATATTGAAACTGGAATAACTGCCATTGATTCTGTTGTATTTCCCTGTTAAACTATAGTACTTTATGGTGTCAGGCAACATTTTGAGTCTTCTCAGATGGCAGCTGGGCTTCAGCTTTCAGTTACTGGGGTTCTTGGTTTCCGTACTTTACATCAGGTAGCCTTGATAAACTGTTTGATCATTGTGCTTCAATGAACTTTCTTGTTAACATTTCATCTTTCGACATAGGCTGAGCCAAAAGCGCAAATGGTCCTTGTTACAAACTCAAGTCAATCCAACAATTTTGATAACTGCTCCTTGATGAACACTGGCGTCCAGACATATGATTCCAGTCCTGGTGAAGCTAACCTGACTTTGCAGCAGAATGACACCCGTGAAGTATCTGATGTCCTTGTTGTTCCTAAGCTGTTGACAACTGATAAATCTGGGAGTAGGTCAGAAAGAATGGAAATCGGTGCTAATGGGACTGTCCATTTGACAGCAATTCAACAGGCAGTAGTTCTGGCATACTGCCTTTTACTTGAGAAGAGCTCTCGACATGATGAGATGCAGAGTAAATAGCATTAATTTGTTCATGCATGAATCATAACATACCTTGTTTTTGCATTCTAACGTATAGGCTTCTTAGAAAGAGGGAAAAGAAAGAAGGTTATGAACCATCTAAGTTGATTATGTAATCACTGGCTTGTATTTCAGGATGGGATATGGCTCCTTACATTGAGGCAATCGATTCCCAGCGTTTGTCACCTTTCACTGTACGTAGACAAAATCTACACAGGATAATTACTTCTTGCTTGCACCTTTTTTCTTTTAATGGGATGGTGGTTTCTGATGTCGGCACATTTTCTGTGCTGTCGTTGATGACACCTGTCTGGTGTTCAGTCTTGAATTAATAAATAACTGAAGCCTTTTTTTGTACATAATCAAGGAAAATGTATGCTTATGATGTTTTTATCCTGTCACTTCTAAATAGTCATAACCACTATCTGTATTTGATAAATTTCCCCATTCTTTCTTTAGATACAATGTTTCTGTGACCTCTTGCGGATACGATGGGAATCATCACGTAGTCGAACAAAGGAGCGTGCTTTACTGATGATGGATAAATTGGTATGAGCTGTAATCTCCAAGAATTAGTGGATTCTCGCTAAATATTGAAATTTCATTAGCCTATACTGATCAATCTTTTTTTACGGTTCATTTTCCTTTTTGTTGTTGTAATTCCGAGGTTATTATAGTTTTTTGCAAATTAATTATTGATGCAGAGTTACTTATTTTTTTTTTTTATTGTGCATATTATGGTTTATGTGGACCAAAAGTTATCATAAGCAGAAATGCGTTGGACTGAATAGGAAATACTCAGGACAGGACAATTTCTTCCTAAGGCTATTAGTGGAACTCCTTTTTCCCTCCAGCATATATCCCACCATTTGGCCCATTTTTATGAGTGGATAGATTTGATTAGAGGAACTAAGTGTTGTAACTCTTATAACTCTGTATCCTCTTCCATAAGCCACCTCAGAGCTTTCATTTTTATATTTAATGTGATCATCACTGCATCGCCTTACATGTGTGGTCAACTTAAATTCTTTCATGCGGTTGTGGCATTTGAGTTGTCCTAATTTCTGTGCATGAATTATTTTTCCTTTCACACTCGTTAACAATGTACTACATTTCAGGTCCAGAGTCTTTATGAAGCTTCTCCAACAATAACAGAAAGAATTCCTTTTTGCTATGGTGTTTATATGCCCTGTATCCCTGCCTTAAGGAAGTATGACCTTTTGCTCGTCACATAATGAACAGCATATTGATAATAATTAAGCAAACCTCCTCCCCAAATAAAAAAAACATAAAAAAGAGGTGTCCATAGTTCTTACTTCTTTGTCAGGCCACTGGTTATATGATTCTTTACTCTTTTAACCTGTGTGGCGATTTTTAGCTTATTCAGATCCTTTTCTGTTAATATTTTTCATCCTAATTTCAGGGAGTATGGTGAGCTTTTGGTACGCTGTGGGTTGATAGGGGAGGCAGTGAAAGTTTTTGAAGATTTAGAATTATGGGACAATCTTATATTCTGTTATCGGTATGTTGAAGCCTAGGAGGAATAAGAATTTATTTTCTACAGTATATCTTTATACTCATCATGCATCTTTCACGGGCAGTGAGGTCTCATGCCATGTTTGATTTGGTTAACAGCCTGTTGGAGAAGAAAGCAACTGCTGTTGAACTTATCAAAAAATGTCTTTCAGAAAGACCCAATGACCCTAGGTTATGGTATGTATGATTCTTTATTGATAAACTTGTGAATGATTTCTTGTGGGTTTGATAGGCGTTTTTGACTAGTGATCATGGGAGAAAGGCTTTATTTCGTGTCAGTTGTTATTTTATTTCTTTATTTGATACTCCTAGTTGGCTACATTCCTAGTTTCATACAGCTTTCTTTTTTCTTTTTGAATAAAAACTGAATAACATTCATAAACAGAGCAAACTGGAAGTTAACAACAGACTACAAGAGAGTCAAAATCAATCATCATACACCCCCTTCACTAGATTAAGGTGGTATACAGCTTTCATTTTGAAGAGCTCCATTTTTGCATACTAGGCTTGACTAGATTGACATTGTGCCTAGCATGGTAGTAGTCTCTTTGGAGTGAAAATTTGAAGCCATGAAATTACTTCTATAACCGAGGAAGCATGGATACACCGATTTTGGTGGCATATCTGTGTTTGATACTATTAGACGCGGATGCTTGCTCTATGCGAGTACATGTGTCTGACACTTTTTTTTGGGTGACATGGCGGACACGGCTTCTATGCGGGACTCTACATTTTGCATAAAAAAATTGACTAAATCCCTAATTTGCAAACCATTCAGCCATTTGAATGTTTCGGATCCTCCATTCTCTCCCTAGTCTCGTTCGTCGCTCTCTTCCCTGTCTGTGCTGCCTTGTTTGCGCCGTTGTGAACCCATCCATTCTCAACTCGCAAGTCGTGTCTCGTTCTGTCTTCTGTGGTTGCTCAGCTCATTGGTCCAGTCCAGGTTCTCGTCCTTCACTCGTCTCGTCTTCTCTCTTCTCTGCCTTCTTGAGTTCTTGTTAGAATATCTCACTCGTCTTCTTTGGCTACTGTGATAGCCTGAAACTGAAGCATATTATTATTTTATTATGTTGACACTCTTTTGAAAGTTTGACTATTATTTTTATTATTAATTTAATATCTTACTCTCCATATGCACAGAACCTGTTGCTCACTTTGTTTATTTTAGACTTAGTTTGACTATGATTCTCAATGGTTCTGGTCCTGTTTTATTTTAGTTTATTTCAATTTGTTTTTTTCTTTTTTTTTTAATTAGATATGGCTGCAACTAGTAGTTCTGGGGGAAGTATTAATTCAGCAGCTCATTATTCTTCTATAAATGAGCTACAAAAAGATGGAACTCCCCTATGGTGCTATGTCACTTTAGTCACTTTGTGTTTTATTGAATTGCTATGCATTTTTATTAGTTGAATTGTTACTTACGTTTGTATAAAAAATTTTATATACCCCCGTACCCATATCTTAAAATTTTTAAAATTTGCTATATCGCCGTATCATGCTGTTTTATATCCGATACTCATACCCATATCTATGTGACGTAGTCAATAACTTCTTATAGATGAATTTTGCTTAGAGATTCTTCTTACAAGTTTACTTAATATGCTGGGATAATATTTATTACCAATCAAGACAATCAAAATTGAACATTTGTATGAGATGTAGGATCCAGAAGTGCCATATAAGGTTGATACATTGATCAGATTAGGTTTCTGATGGAACCCTCTACTCTATTAAGCTTAAAAATAAGCAAAACCAGAAAATACACTGTAAATGTAACTAACAATTACTATTGCTGAACAATAGAGTGGGATTGCAATCAAAATAAAGACTGAAATTACACTGAAATGGCAATTACAGAGCATGAAACAACATAAACTATACCCTCTGAGCAGCAACACAAACACTGGTCTCTCACAAATACAAACTGAAGTAAAAGATAAAATGATGAAGAAAAGATAATCTTCTCCACCCTTAATCTGGCATTCGAGAGGCCAGAACTCTCCTCACTTGACCACAATTCTCCAATAGTCCCTCCTCATCCCTCATCATGGAAGTACATATTTAAAGAGTCAAAAAGTAGTCATTACCCCTGCCGACACTACCCATACCCTAGGCTACACCTAACCTGACTTTTCTTTTATTATTTGAATCTTACAGTTATAAACCTTCAAATAAACCTCTTGACCACTGGTCTTAGTCTTCTTTAAATCACCTCCCTGCCTAGATTGTCTACTGTAAGCCTTAGGAAATGACAGGAATATCTTTTGGGAATCACCAGCTTTATCAGTTTCTCTGAAGTTACATTTAAGGTAAAATCTGGGATAAATTTTATGCAGCTCTATGACTTTTTATCTGCTAAAACAGAATAGTGAGAGATGCAGTATCTATTGATGCGATGCGGAATAAAATCATTTTCCCAGTAAAAAAAACTTGTGGTCACACCCTATACAAGTTTCTGGAAGTGCCCAAAGTCTAGAAACTTTTGCATTAATAACTGAGAACTAGCCTTTCAGTTTTGAATATCAACAACCGTATGGCAGAAAAAATCAGATGATTTCCTTCGGTCAATGGTTTAGATTGTATCCTCCATTCTTGGCATGCTTGTTTTTGACATCATCTAATCAAATGTCTTAGAGCAGATCTATGTAAACTATGTATCTTGTGGTTTGGCAGTAGTTGTTAGTTGGAATTTTTTGCCAGTATGGAGAAATTTCACTGTGGACATTTCTATTCACCTCTCATTTTATTTTTTCCCTAATTTAAATTTCATTCATGAACCAGTGCTGACTGCTGACCAATGATGTTCTAGGTTACTGTCTATCCTACATGAGAAATCGAAGAGCAAACTAATAAAATACATAATTTGCCAAATATAGCCACTCATGCTAATAACTTGCTAGGTGTTCCTTGGGTGATGCTACTGATAATGATGCGTTCTATGAAAAAGCTCTTGAAGTTTCAAACAACAGGTCTACTAGAGCTAAGGTACACGTGTATTTATTTATAGTAGCATCCTATCTGTTAATTTCATATTAAGGAGTTGTCAAGATTGGTTATTGTTCTGAAAGAAAACTCTTTCTAATTGACAGCGCTCTCTGGCTCGTAGTGCGTACAATAGAGGAGAATATGAAGCATCCAAGATTTTGTGGTACATGCTGTATTTTAAACGTATAACACTTATTCTTTCTGCAGTTGTCATAATATCTTTGTTTGGTTTGACGTGTTAAAGGGAGTCTGCAATGTCTATGAACTCTATGTATCCTGATGGTTGGTTTGCACTTGGGGCTGCTGCGCTAAAGGTAAACCATGATTTCTGCTATACCTATTATTGATTTACTTTTGTAGCTGGATTTGAAAGCTAGTAGACAATGTAGGATGGGTTTACGATACTCATCACTAAATGTGTTTAATGGGAAGAATTTAAGTGAGGCCTGTTGAATTTAAATGAAGCCGCTTCTGCTTTGTTTACATCTTTTTTTTTTTTTTGGTATCATTTATGTAATTGTGGATAGTTGTGTATGAAATATATGGCATCAGTTCATTGGTTTGTTTGGAATCAGAATTGGCACCGATGCTCATATTTGACCATGGTTTTTGTAGTATGCCAACATTGTATTGTGCTCTTAATTTCTGATTTCTAAAGTATGTTCTAACCATGAAAGTTATACAGGCTAGGGATATTGAAAAGGCTCTGGATGGTTTTACTCGTGCAGTTCAACTTGATCCTGAAAATGGGGAAGCTTGGAATAACATTGCTTGCTTGTATGTATTTCTGGCTTGTGTCTCTTATTGAAAGGGGAAAAAAGCATTAGCTTGTTTCACGGTTTCAACTAATATACCTGCAAATGCACACCAATCTATGAACATGAGATAGTAACTTCTCTGTCATTTTCCTTTTGTAATCTATATAAATTCTTGCTGCATAATGAGGGGTGCCGCTTGATAAGGTAGCCCCTTCTTCCCATAAATTCTGCCTGACTTGTTTCCAATGATATTTGAAAGTGAGATTGCCAAGCTGTAGTCTTCAGTGTTTAAACATTGGCAAAACCCTTTGGGACTGCAAAAGCATCTTTTTTACCACGCAAAGAAAGTATCTAATTTGCTTAAAATGGCTAAGAGTTTGTGATTGAGTCCCACATTGGATGCCATATGTAATTTTTTTTTTTTTGGTACTTTTAAGTGACATTGTTCTTCTCCCTTACATGCCAATTAAGGTTGGGGTTCCGCATGCTTGCTTAGGTCTCCATCTGTTTGAAATTCTAATTATTCGCTTTCCTGGTCCTCCTTGTACCTGGGCATCGCAGTTTTTGATTGTATTTGATGTTTCACTCATTGTATTCATTCATCATCAGTTAGTATTTTTTTTCTTCTAGCTTTGACATAATATATGCATTTTACCTACCATGCAGGCATATGATCAACAAAAGAAGTAAAGAATCTTTCATTGCCTTTAAAGAAGCCCTCAAGTTCAAGTTCGTCTTTCCCTTTAATTGGACTTTCTGTCTCATAAGTGCTGGCTTATTCTTGCATATACATGCATGAGGGCATCTAAAATTTGTATACATTATTGTCATCAGCTCTTTGCAAATTAGAGGTATATATTGAAATAATGTTTTTTGACCCTTGGTGACAGACGAAATAGCTGGCAACTCTGGGAGAACTACAGTCGTGTAGCTGTTGATGTTGGTAATATCAGTCAGGTATCCAATTATTACTTTCCTTCTCATTTTTGTTTATCAACGCAAGTCTCACTGGATACTTATGAGTCTGCTATGTGACTAAAGATGCGAATGTAAAGGTCATGTAAACACATACCATTTACTTCGTCAACCAGAAGCATTGTTTTCATTGATTGTTTATCACTCATCAAGTTTGTTATTTTTTAGGCTTTGGAAGGTGCACAAATGGTTTTGGACATTAGCAACAACAAAAGAGTGGATACAGAATTATTGGAGAGAATTATGAGAGAGGTGGAAAGAAGGGTTTCAACAAGTCATTCGGTGTCTCCTGTGGCAACTTATAATCCCCATAATGGACATCAAGATGATTCTGAATCAGAGATTCTTGAGCAAGGATCTGATATATCTACTGAAGGAAGATCATGTGAAACTGAGCAATTAGTGTTATTACTTGGAAAAGTTTTACAGCGGGTACGGAATTCCATAATCATCAGACTGTTGTTGTCATTGTCATCATTTTGGTGTTTCTTCTCATTGTTGAAGAGAAGCACAGTTCTTTCCAGCATCCTCCCTTCACTGGCAAAATAGTGGCATGCATTTCTAGTTGCTTCTGTGATTAATTATAGTTAGCAAGCTGGATGTTCTTGTCTTCTTCTGATTTCTTAAAAGCTTGGTTAATGATAGAGTATAATGGTATCGTACAATTTATGTAACTAACTTTATCTAGTGGAATAAAGCTTCTTGTTGTTGTTGTGGAAGATAATGATGAGACTGCATGCTCTATAAAGTTATGCCAAAAAAAGTGAAGATATGCAGCTCATATTTTAATATTTCTTATTTTGATGTAGATAGTTAAAAGTGGGAATGGATCAACAGCTGATATCTGGGGCTTGTATGCTCGTTGGCACAGAATTAAAGGAGATCTTTTAATGTGTTCTGAAGCACTCTTAAGGCAAGTCAGGTCACTTCAGGTATCTCTCATAATGTTCAAACTCAATATTTCCTGTAGGGAAGAAACTTAGAGCAATGGAAGTCAGGAATTTAAGTTGATGCATAACATGGAAAGAGAGTCGTACACCTATGTGCCATGAGTGATAATCCATGCAGTTATCTGGCTAATATAGATGGAAGAAATAAGTGTTCAATAAGATTTTTATCCAATCATGAGCTGTTTTCTTAAGACAAGGTTTACTCACGGGCATCAAGGAACAGTAATGCCCCACTATTTTGCATCCTAAGCAGTGTGAGCCCTACCTTTTTCATGTTCAGTGTAGAGTAACCATTGTCTCCTATTTTTTTGCACATTATTAACGCTGAATTTTTTTTATCTGGAGGTTCTTCATAATGAGAGTTTTTCATAAATGGTAAGCCGTAAGCTTATTTATCCCAATGATTATAATTCTACTGTCATACGGTTGTATATTGTATCAGGGATCTGAGACATGGAAAGATAGAAATCGTTTTAAGAAGTTCGCTAATGCATCTTTGGAACTTTGCAAGTTATACATGGAAATTTCGTCATCTTCAAACAGCTGCAAAGAATTGTTTACGGCTGAGATGCACCTAAAGAACACCATTAAACAGGTAAGAAACTTGTCGACCATCAAGTTTGAGCTGCGAAAATCTTGAAACAATGAGCTTATGTTTTATTTTCATTCTTTCATGTTCTGGTTTAATGCTTTTGTTGGCCAAATTCATCCCTCTGATACAGAAGATTTTCTGATTTATCACTCGTGATCCCAGGCACAGATCTTCTCTGATACAGAAGAGTTCAGAGATCTCCAGGCTTGCCATGATGAAGTGAAAACCAAACTCCAATCATTCAATGCCTAATTATCAGTTGCAATCTCTCCGATGCAAAGCTTATCTGATACGGAGTTGCAGGGGTATTAAGGTTTGCCATGAAGTGAAAACCAAGATTTAACCATTCAATGCCCAACTAAAATCTAATCAGAGAAGGCATTCTTCAGTCTGTTATCCAAGTTCTAATGTCAAAGTTTCTGTTGACGCTGACGTTCGTTCCACTGAATCGGCAAGCGTATATTGAAAACGGATGTGCACAAGGGTCCGTCAACAGAGGTCAAAGGCTTGGTTTCAGATGGAAAAGATGGCAGGGATAAGATATGATTGAAATGATGTGAACCTGCACTTTGTATGGATCGCCGTGTAATATATGGTTTCTTTAAATTACAGGGAAAATACTACAGCTGATAGCAAAGGAAACAATCAAATTTGATGGATCATTAAATAACAACCCAGAATCTAACGACTCATCCTAATGAAACGTCAAGAAGCCCATCTCCTTAGTTTTGTTGTTGGCAAAGAAATACAAGCATTTGCACGAGTCAAAATTCATGACAATATAGAATACTTTGTTTTACTTCAAATGAAGTTTAATTAAAATTTTATTCGTTCGACGGTGTGTGAATCACGGATGTGCACACATGCAAAAAAGAAAAAGGCTATATTTCATGTGTGCAGAACTTTGGAAAGGCCTGTTGAGAAGGTGGACTTTTGCTTCCCCCATTTGAATGAAGATTATCGACTTCTAAAATATATACTAGGAAAACTGTATTATTTAATGGATCGTTTGATTCAATTTACCCAGGCTTTGCAGAAAGAAATTTTCTGATAAGTATATTTTGAGTAGTTAATTCCTCCCAAGTTTCATATTTGATTTTTTTAAAAAAAAATGCGAAGTCTAGTTATTTTTAAAATAAATTTAATGTTCATATATTAAAGATCAAAGCGTCTTTTTAATTGAATTTTATTTTACAACTTTTAAAGATAAGTTTTAAAACATATAAATATTAAAGTGAAAATTAAATTTCTCTAATTCTGAGTAAAGTGAGGTAAATCATTCTGAAAAAGTTTGAAACTTCTAGTAAATCAAGCAAAAAGAAATTTGTTGCTCAACATGCTAACATTATTGCCTTCCTTTTCTAGCTCTTACCTCTAACAAAAGTACCGTTCTAAATATTTTGAAAAACACCACATTAACTTTTCAAAACATGAGGACTGAACACGGCAAATAGAATGAGGAAAAAATGCAAAAAGAAAGAAAGAATGAAAGAAAAAGAAAAGAGAGACAGGCTTATGATACTGATCAAGTCACGTGTAATTCAGCATAATAAGCCCCCAAGATCTGATAAATTATCCGGTAAAAATTCTATATATAAATATGTCAACTTGTCCCATAAATAGGACTACAGCCTACTTTTAAAGGATCACTCCGGCTACTAGGTAAAAAACTTCGGATATAGCCTACCCTAAAGACCTATATTTAGAGGAACTTAAATCACCTAAGCAGGTCAAAAGCAATTAACATAGCGGTCCTAAGGATCTACCCTAATGCATAACCAACTTCACTGTAAGGCCAGTCCAACATATTAACAATTTGCAGCACAGTGCATGTCAGATGAAGCTTTAATGAACCTGGTGGTTGAAAAAGGTCTTTCAAGATCAGATAGTCAACACTGTACAATATCTCACCCTACCAATCTAAAGAGTAGGAAAGAAAATATATGGATAGTGGTTAAAATCCTATATCCTAAACTAGATTCTCCAAAGTGGAGCTACTTGGTCGCCAGCATTCCATATACATAGTTTGATAGCTCAGCCATCTGCTGCTCCATCTTGTCTTTCCATTTAAACAAGTCCGTAAGCATCTCCTGTGAGGAAAGAATACAATAAATCAACATTGAACTAGAAAAAAGAGTAGTGCCTGGTACATGACATGCACACACAAACATCACCTGAAACAACACCACTGAGTTGTCGAGGTCTGACTTTGAATTTACAGTCATAGAAGAATCCGGAGTCACATTAGGTTGATCTTCCTCTTGTTTATTGGACAACATTCCCAGCAAATCACTATTATTATCACAGGCAAAAAATAAGGAATATTAGGATGAAAGTAGGCCATTCCCCCCACCATAGTTTATTTTTTGGTCTCTCAGAAGGAAGCAGAGGAGAGGGTGGGAGAGAATTTGACTTTGCATGCATTACCTCTTCATGTTAGTTACATTGTCATTGAGCAGCTGACTAGGTATGGCTGACTTAGGATCTTGGAGGGCAGCTTCTTGCTCAAGATTAACCAGCTCTGTACTCCCAAACCATGGTATAAGCTCATCGTCTCCTTGAATATTCTCTAGATTGGTACTTTCAAGCCAATCCTCCCATCTTTCCAAAGGAGGATTGGTCGTGCCTTCCCTTGATGCTTTCAGATCACTCAATTTATTTGTTATTTCCACAAGCTGTTGCTCAACTTTACTTTTCCAAGTTACCAAATCACCATACATGCCCTATCAATATGTAAAACTTCATTAAACTATGATCACATACAAGAAAAAAATAACGAACTGAAAATATATTTATCATAGCAACTGTCACATAAAATTCTCTGAGGGTGAAAAAGAATGCTATGTTTAGGTACCTGTACACCCTTCAAAGAAGTGAAAATCCCAGTTAGGCGCTGCTCAGTCATAGCTTTCCACTTCACTAATTCCTTGTGTGTCTCCTGCCAGTAATGACTTGACATGAGCTATCATCATATGACATTAGAAACACTAGACAGTTCAACAATTAAATCAATAAAGCGGATAAACATTCACTTAATCATATAACATTCACCTCCATCATATTAATTTCATTTTTCTCTTGATTCTTGATTACGAGCTCCTGCATATCTCTGCCAACACAACAGCATTTAAGATGCGTATATAATAATAAGCATACAAGAATATCTTGAAACACAAGTTTCAAACTTCACTACTTCTTCATTTTGGCCATTTCCGTTTGAAGCAGTTTCAGTTCACCAGAAGAATCAGAAATCTGAGGAGGGGGACTTCCTGCTTTAAATGTAGATGGTGGAATCCAGTATGGGTCCTGCACCCCAGCATCCTGGCGGACCTTATCCAGGTTAGCACTCTCCAACCAATATTCCATGATTCCTTTGGTGTTAAACCACCGCCTAAAACGCTCTGTCCCATCAGGTGCCACTTTACCATCAATGTGCTTCAGTAAGTGATCCAATAGTCCAGTATCACCAATGTGTTTACGGGCAGCCATCCGTAGTGCAGGTCGGGAGATTGGGTTTGCAAATGTTGCTCCTTTAGCCTTCAAGACCTCCCACATGCTTTGCTCAGCAAGCTTATACCTACAGTAGATGGCGACCTAAGTTTACCATATTGTATTATTGAAGAGAAAGCAAAGATAGAAAAAACCTAACATATATTCTTTACCTCTCAGATGACCATCTGTCTCTACTCTCATGCTTCTTCATCTTAAGCTTGCTACTGGTTTGTGTCTGATTCCCACCTAACCCTGCTTTTATCTCTCTAAGCTGACTAAGGCTGAGTCGCTTTCTTTTCTTAAAAACTGGTATAAATAAAGTTTCAGTCTTAATAGTTTCTTCATCAACATCTTTCAAGTCTTTTGGAATGTCTGATGAAAGTAGACTTCCATTATCCTCATGCTGGCCAATGAACATAGCTCGATGACAACAACCATCCATCCCTGCAGCTCTTTCATAAACAACACGCAATCCAGGTTCTCGTTTAGTTCCTCACTATTGCGCAGTCCTCAAGCACACAAATCTTGAGAGCAGTAAGCTGCAAAAGAAAAAAGGATTAACAGTCAACTATAAGCTTGACGGGTTGAAAAATAGACTCTATATAGTAATGAATGTAGTTTCGCAATGCTAATATATCCTAAAAAAAAAAGTGGCTTCCAGGCTGATGGTAGAGATGGGGAATAGCTGAGGGAGTTGATGGGATGTTTAATATACCGGTCACAAGGTTTCATTGAGTGACAATCTATATGCACTCCTAATCGTATGAATTCCATATTCAGCAGCATGGAAATATCGTAAATTTCAATTCTGAAATAATTTGGAAAACTATTCAAAAGAAAAGGTCGGAGATAGGAATATAGTTTTTTTTTAATTATATAAGGAGTTTAGTTCAAAAAGCCTCTATCGTCAACTTTCAACATGCTATATATATGCTTTTTATCCTTTTTGGATATGCCACGCTATTATTATAACTCGGGTGATCAGAGCTCCTCGAGACATGATGGGAGGCCGAAAGGGAAACCAAACAGATAATTCAATCACCAGTAAAAACAGTAATGCAGCTGCCTTCCTTTCACCTTTCACCCTACATTATTAATACCCAAAAGAAAATAATGTAGCTGGCTTCCTTTTTCTTTTCACCCTGCATTATTAATACCCAGAAGAAAAATTAAAAATATCTACCACAGATGGTAAGAGAATCGTGTACTTTCTCACGAGAATGGCTTTGACATTAGGTGACAGAACAACAAAAAAGATGGCTAAAATAAGAAGTGTATGCTTTCAGTTCTCGAGATCCCTGAGCATAAGAAGAGGAACTAACAGAAAGGGTAATAATCAAAAGTCAAAATGTTAAGTTATCAAAACTTCATCCATAAGAATTAACAAATATGATGGCCCAGTAATACATATGTCATGGATTACGACGAGGGAAAAAAGTATTTGAAACAGAACTCCCTCAAACAAAGCATCATGAAGCAACCACATGAATTTTTTTTTTTTAAACAAAAAAGTGCCAAAGCGGCATGTTTTAGCTATTCTATTATGAAAACAAAAGGCAACATGTATTACTAGTTGCAATACCCTTCTCCACAATCAAGCGGTGGAAGGGAGCAAGGACGGCCAAGGCGCCAAGCGATCAGTCAAAGACAACCCAAACAATAAGAAAAGGAGAGTTTAGTTGAGCCATGGCAGATTGGCATAAGATGTAAAATGCACATAAAATAGAACAAACCCCAACGAAAAAAATAATATTTATATAGTCAGCACATAGACAATGTGATAAATTTACCGTCACCAAAACATCCCCTGTGCTGCATTTAGGCAGCAATCAAGCAATGCCGCAACTTGAAACAAAAGGAAAGTTATACAAGGGAATTGTGGCAGTGAAGAGATAAAAGAGAAGGAATTCAAGGGCAGCAGAGCAAAAGAAAAAGGGTCGCCATACCATTCGATGCTTCAGTAAAACAACGCGCCGCGAGATAGAGCAGAAAGAGGAGTGGGCTAGCGAGAGTGGAAAACAGTAAGACCCGAATTCTGGAGGAGGACCGAATAACGTTAAAGGAAAACACAGGCCAACACAAAACAAAACCCTAACCGCCAAAACCCCACCTCAAAACCCTCCAAAATTGTAAATAATTATTGTCAAATAAGATGTTGTGATTTTAATTCGGGCCCACACATTCTTTTCTAAC